CCCGTTCGACCGGACGAGATTCTCCTTCCGTTCTGGTATCACAGTGGCTGGGGTAAAGATGATCTTTTCCTCAGATTCCTCTTCACTCTTTCATTCGGGATTGTTGCTCGCGCGTTCATCGTCGCGGGATATACCGCTGCCGCGGTAGCGGCTGTAGCGTTGGGCCAGGAGCCGAGTATGTGGCCGCCTGTCGGGGGTGGATTGCTGGATGCGTGGTCGATTAGGAGGTTCTGGGGGTATGCATGCACCTTCCTCCCTTTCATTCTTTTCGTTCCCAGTGTCGATGTATACTAATGAAGTATGCAATGCTACAGAAAAACGTGGCACCAAACCCTCCGCCAACTCCTCTGCTCGAACGCCGACTTTGTCTCGGGGTCTATCCTGCGTCTTCCGGTCCGATTCCAGTGGTGCTTCCGGGTAATCTTCGCATTCATTGTTTCGGGTTTAGTGCATACGGGCATGGATGTAGGGTTCGGGGTGCGGATTGATGAAAGCGGGGCGTTGTGGTTCTTCGCGTTACAGATTCTGGGTGTGGCGGGGGAGATGCTCGCTGAGATGTTGTTGGCTCCTGTGAGTGTGTTTGTGCCGAGAGTATTGAGACCTGGGGTTGGGTTTATTTGGGTAGCGTTTTTCATGATGTGGACTTTGCCGGTGTGGATTTATCCGATTTTGGTCCAGTTGTATGGAGATGGCGTGCGCATGATGAGTCCATTCTTGGGGTTGGGGGGTTGGGATGTTTGAATTGGTTTTGGATTGCATAGCGTTGCGGTTGGGTATCATTGTTATATTAGATTATACTAGAGTTATTAGATGTATAGTAGGGATAGAGGTGGATATAGACTATAATGCTGCGTCCCAGTCTACCCACGCGAATGTATTCAATAGGTCAAGATGGGGGTCTGCGCCGACGAATTCCGGTAGCGCATCTAGAGCTGTCGTTGGACTGTGCAGCGATGCTGGCATGCTGAGGATTCGGTCCAGTGAGCGTTGCAATATTCCCTTGATTTGCGCCTTGGCTGCGATGTCGGATTCGGAGGGCCGGAGCCAGTCGAGAAAGGCGACCAGCACACTGAGGTTCTGGATGATGTCCGATCGGGGAAGATCTAAGGTGTATGTTTCGGGAGAGCTGGATTGACGGAGAAGCTCGAGGCAGAGGATGCCGCTGCCTGGGACGGCGTAGGACATAGCCTGGCATGCTGGCTCAGTATGGAGTAGATGTATTCATTGGAAAGGGGTGGAGTATCGTACCAGCCAGGAAAAATCAACGTGGTTCTCGAATCGGTCCTTATGCTTCCAGTAAATTAGGGTTAATCCTACCATTTCATGGCTAACCTGGATCAGAGCTTGTTCGTCGACCACTCTGTGTCGGGTTAGAAGTCTCTCTAGGATGAACAGGTTGAGTAGAAAGTCCAGGCGCACAAGAACACGCAAAGCGAGCAGCTGGCCGGGAATGTCGCGGTCGTGGACGTCTTCTGTCTTGAACTTGAGGACCTCAGGAAACTGTGCATATATGTCTGTAGCTTGTCCTTTGAGTTGGCTGTTTGCTTGTCAGAAGTTGTAGGGGGCGTATCTTGGGCTGAGGGCATACAGGCATGATTGTACTGCAGCGTCAGTGATGCTATCCTGACAAGTCTCTAATACTTCTAGCATCTCTTCGCGGTTCCTTGCTAGCATTGCGCGCGCTCGTAGGATTGTGGCTGGATACGGTTGTCGCTCTACACTGCCATCCCAACCATTGGAGTTGAGCTTGGCTACGGCATTGCCAATCCTGTCGGAAAATATATCCTCGTCATTAATGTCCAGGGGCAACTGAGTTGTCGAGTATTTTCTGTTCAGAAGTGGTGGTCTTCCGGTGAAAGTAGAGATAACCTTGTCGAAATTGTAAATCGATGCGTAGACGCGTCGCTTGAGTTCGTGCTGGAAGGAGACCTCGTTCCAGTCGGATGACAGTTCTCGGTGAAGACCAATTGATGTTGTGACTGCAATCACATCGCCATGTTGTCGCCAACATGAAAGACCTGTTGATCAGCTGTGTGTTTTAGGTGTCGATCTTACAATCAGAACTTACTCTTATCGCCGCTGGCAATGCTCTCCAGGATGTTATGCTTGAATGCCAAGTTTACAAAGAGAATGTTAATAGCACCCAGCTGGCTACACAGCTCGATGCACATGAATGCACAGCGTTTAAAATGCACCATGAGTTCTTTGGGCCCCTTGAATGCATGTTGTCGACAGTACTGAGTAATGATCTCGTGTTGCACCGGTAACTGTGAAGCCGCAGACGACCAAATAGTGAATAATGACCCTAGCAGCTCCCAGCGCGCTCTCTTTCCCGAGAAAGACTCGATCCAGCGGTGTGGGTTCTGTTCAGCCGGTAAAGGCGTGAGGCTGCACTCTGAAAACCGCTGCGCAACATATTGCAGGTGCTCGCTGTTTCGCAGCCGAAGCACGTTTCGATACTCATCCCACATCTTATCGGAAGCGATCCGATAAGCTGGTCGGAAACATGCGTCCATTAGGGCCATTGGATGGACGAAAAGCAAGTTGCAAGTTTGCTCATCCGGCAGGTTCTGTAGGATCTGGATTCCCAGTTGGAGCATTCTCGGTGTGATGGTTGGGTTCCCCGGCTGAGTGGAACTTTGCACCTCGACGCCATTGATGCCTTCGCTGGTTGGCATCCTCAGCTCTTGGTCCACTTCGAATCGATCCCGATGTTGCACGAACACGGATGCGAAACTCGTGGGCCCCAGGTACTCGGCTGAGCTTTCGAGTATCGGCGTGGTCGACTGTGCTCCAGGGCAGGTCTTGGTGCTTGGTGGCCCATCCTTCTCATTGCACAAGGCAGTCGGCGACTCAACCTCCGGCAGGCTTCTTGCTCTGCCTTTAGCGAGAGGATTGGCGAGATAGACACATTTCAGGGCCAGTCGCCGACAACGCTGGCAGGCGGGGGTTTCGTGGTCGCAGGCCAATTTGCGTCGGCGGCATGCCTCACACGCAGGCTCTCGGCCATTCTTTCGCCTTAGAGCGGGCATGGAATAAGTCGGAGTAACTGTGAGTCCCAAACGGGAACAGATACATGGTCGTATGTGATGGTGTTGTCAGATGTAGATAGTAGATGGCTGATGTGGATGCTGGGAACGGAATCGGCTTCGGCTTCGGCATGGATCGGACTCAAAAAGTGGGGCGGCTCAAAAAGAAGAAGAGCAAAAAAGGATGACCAGACTGGGGCTCGATCCCAGGACCTTATCGGTGTTAACGATACGTGATAACCAACTACACCATCCGGCCATTGCTTGAGAAACATTTGAACTATTGGCTATATATCTGGCTTTTCACTAACTATACAACGGTCGCTAATAAAGCTTCCGGAATCGAGCTCGAGGCTTATATACGGTTATGATTCGTTATTCACCACTCCCGAGCTTATGATCGCATATCAAATGTAAAAAAGAGCATATCATGGATGAGGATAGATCGATACCACCTACTACTTGTTAGTATGGGCTGGTCTCAGTATTTCTATCTGCTCGATGTGACATATATATATTTTGTCCTCCGACATCATGGTACTACCAGTACTGGAAATAACAATGTAGACCATCAAAGTTTCATAGTAGTAGTATTCTAGCTCCGCATTGAGTACTTTGAGGTTATGACATATATCCGATCATTGATCTATTCGTGACGGACAGCTATATACACCCCGTAAATCGGTCGTATCTCATCAAGAACATGGCATAAGGCGTGTCATCATCAGCATCCTTAAGGTCTAGTTATCATCATGCTTCAACTCGACCGTAATAATCAGGGACAGAATGAAGGTCGTTAAAATGATCTACCAATGTTAGTAATATCCCCTGACATAAACACAGCGAGTCAGAACTCACCAACCCAATCAACACCCCAATACAGTTCAGCTCCCAACCCCCCGCATATACCGTCCCCAAAGCCACCACATTCTGCTGCTTCCAGAAGCGATACGCGCCCATGGCAGCTATCAGAATTGCCACGCTATAACAGCTAACCGCCAGGGGGACCCCCACTTCATAGAACCCCAATGCTGGATCCGGCGAAGCTAAATGCTGGAGTCGAAATAATTGGGCGATCAGCACACCTTGCATGGCGACCATGACCGATGTACGAATGTAAGCTAAGAAAGTTCGCTCTAAAGCTAAAAAGCAATTGGAGATGTCAGCAACAGCCTTGCATTTCTTCTGCGTTGTTGTTGGTGAATGGATGACCTCGTGATTGCCTGGCGCCATAGCCACGTGCGATTGCGCCATTTTAGTGGCATCAATAGTCATTTAAGCATATATCGGATGGAGCAATCTGCGAGGTATATATCAGAAAGCGAGGTGCCCACTCACCAAAATGATCCCGATTACTCTTCTGCGGCACCGTCAGCACCACATTTCGCGTCCAAAAGCGACGAATTCGTCCCGTCACCCCCTTGCTTGTATCCTCCCGGTTGGAATGAGTGGTGCGGGAAACGGTCCGATGTGTGCGGATACGATATTCGCCCGAGGAGATCGATTCGGTTGAGAAGCCGGCCTCATCGTCATCTTGAGTGGCTATATTGCGGAGTTCGAGGGCATCCAGGTCGTTATCGGTGCTTCTGGCGTCGTCGTCATCACGATGAGGTCGTTGAGCTGTGTGGCAGGCAGCTGGTGGGGTGAGAATCTCCTCGCGACCGGTCGCTGCAGCGATCGCCTTGTCCGGTGCAGAATAATGGTCCTGGCGATCGACCATGATGTACAGTAAGCTTCTTAGCTCTCGCACAGGAAGCTGTGTGACATGCTACTACTGCTGCTTCTGGGGGAAAAGATGGGAAAAGGAAAGGGTCGATGCGGTGAAGAGGCGTCACTGCTGGCTGGCAGGTTCCTTGGTTTGTTGGTCGGCGACTCTCCCCTGCTTCCCCGGCCGGCGCTTATCTGATTGGGTTCGGATACTCGGCAGTGGCAGAGCTTATTGCTCTTCCAAGTTTGTTGCTATCAAGGAATCGCCGATTGATCGATTTTATTCGCGAATTGACTTCGCCAGCGGGTATGACGTAATAGATTTGGAAGGACTATCTGCTTGATTATTTCTATTGAGATATAACTTCACGACAACGAGGAACTATCTTGACTAGAATCAAATCTCAGAAATCCCTCTGACCATCACGCTAATTATCCCCTCATTCAACCCCGGACCCTAACTCCGCTAATGCTCCACCCAAGCTAACACTGAGCACACTATGCCGTGTTAATGCTCACCCACTCCTCCTGCTTATCGCCGAAAAACACCGATTCTGGCTTTGACACAATGTCAAACAGCGCTGCTTTCAGATACGCTTTACCCGGCACCTTTGGCGACAACGTAAACAGTGGGCTGTTTACAAGCTGCATTAGCATGTGGTTTTAGGAACGAAGCAAAACCAACAACTGACCTTCCACAACTGGAGCAAAAATGACGCTACAAAGACCGATTTAGCTTGGCACGCTTCAACTAGTGCCCTTAAATTGACGGGAACCCACCTGGACGATGTTCCGCGAAGAAGTGTTGGGATCGCTGTAGATCTTCATTGCCTGGCTGGGGTCTTCGATGGTCATGTCACTTTGATTGATGAAGTAGTTGATTGAGAAAGCTGATTGGGGTTAGCCCTGGGCGGCTACTGCGGGGTAGAGATGGAAAGCGAAGACATACAGCCTCCTCCAGCTTTCTTGCAGTTGATGCTGCAGATTATGCAATCAGCTTAGATCCTATACTAATGGTTGATTGGTATGGGAGTATAAAATCACCAGTGGCAGGCTACACTCCTTTCCGGCTGTGCCGGCAGGGTGATGGAGACGCTGGTGCAGTTACAACGGCCGGTGTAGGGCATCGTTGAGGTGCTGTAGATGGATGTGGAAGATGGAGAGTGATGACTCGATTCGTGGCAGCTTGCCGGGATTTAAACATCAAAGTCAGGGGCAGGAGAAGTGGAGCATTGTCCATCCACATTTAAACCCACGTTATACACCAGCAATTCGGAGTTGAACCGATTCAAGGTGTGCCTCGTCAAGAGGTCCTTCTCCACTCGAGTGGATTACCCGATGATGGATTGATAATCAGCGTTTGCCGCCGGTTCCGTTGATGCCATGTATGCCTGAGGCTGCAAATGATATATTGAGCATCTCTTAAGCCCGACTATTGTACTTTTGCCAGGCGGATGATACTATCTTATCAAGGCTCAAATGGAATATATACACAAATTGAATGACTAGGAATAATTATATAACACCGTAATAGCAGAGGTTGCGTATTTTACCTTGGCCATGAGGCGCATACTAAGCCCACCATCTTCTTATTTAATAAGTCTGGAGCATTCCATTGAAGGCCTGATAATCAACAGTCCTTCGAAGAGAGCCTATACCATACATGGAGCTCAAGCAGTAACATGTTTGACAAGCCCCAAAGTGCCACGTTCGATATTGGGCGCCATCCCATTCACAATATCAACCGTGAAACTGTTCAGATCCAGAATCCGGTTCATTCGGACCATTTTCATCATAACCTCATCGCACTGGTTACTCTCGGAGTATGTAGCAGCAGCGCCCCTAGCGGTAAAATCCGCAGCCTGACTGCTGTCGAGGTCCGCCAGACATCCGCTCTCAACCTTGCGAATCACCCGGGTGCAAAACTCCACTGACCTGTCCACCTCTGCCTGGGTCAATTTCCCACCTGCATCAACTGTCCCCTGAATAATAGGCCGAAAATGGTCAAATGCCACATTGAAGGTCGCTTCGTCCAGCCCGTTCAAAACAGCCTTTTCCCTACCATGGATCTGCTCCATTGCACTGCGCACCACCAACAAGAACCGCGTGTAGGCCTCGCCAACTTTGCTCGAATGCCATTCACCAGCCTCCTCTTCGGCGCAGTCACCCCTGAGACTCGCGCAAATAGTCACTGCTGCTGAAAGCCCGCCCGTCATGGCAAGGTGTACGCCCGACGAGAACAGCGGGTCGATAAAGCAAGCCGCATCACCCGCAACACGTGCGAAGGGGTGTGAATACGTACTCGCACTATACGACCAATCTGCCGCCGCCTTGATTTCCGAGGATACAAGTTCAGCACCACTTAGCAGCCGCGCAATTCCCGGCGTATCCTGCAAACAAGCAAGATAAAAGTCCTTGCTGGACTCAGACCCATACGCCCGCTTCTTCTCTGCAACCCGGTCTTGCTTCAGCGTAATCCCAACAGAGACCGTGCCGTCATGCAAGGGGATAAACCAAGCCCACCCGCTCCCGTCTGTTACGGCCTCTGAGAACGGATCTCCTTCCCCTGGCCCATACGTGCCTGCACCCCGCCAGTATCCCCACAGTGCCATGCTCTGCAGCTGTTTGTTATGGATCCGAGTCTTCATGTATCGATTGCTCATTAGGCCGGCACGCCCGGAAGCATCAACTAGATATTCGAAGTGGATTGTACCGGTGCTGCCGTCCTTTTTGCGGTTCCAGGTTGCGGATACCGGCCTTCTACCCAAGTATTGGTCTTGGCATTCTTGTTTGGTGCCTGTGTTGCTGATGGTTGGAGCGAAGTCAAGAGCCTGCACTTTCACACCATCAAAGGCGGTTGCGCCGCTCAGCTCGGCGTGTCTGAATAGAATCTCGTCTGCTTCAGAGCGGAGGACGTTCCACGCATGGTTGCCTGCTCCACCGGCTCCGACAAAATCTGTGTCTGCCGAAGCATTAGCCACATACGTTGGGGCATCTTGAAGCACATGCACAGGACTTACAGCCCGGTTGCTTGGAATTGAATTTGAATGTTGCGCCATTCTATATTGTGAGATCTATGTGTTAGTCGGATTCTAAGAGTAGTGTATAGGTACTTGGCACGGGTGAATGAGGGATATGGAATAGATACCTTACGCAGAAAACCGCCAGCGTTGAACTTGTCGTAACAGTCTATAAAATCCAAAAAGTACCTCACCGAGGGCAGAAGGCTTTCTCCAATATGGTAAGGAGGGAACTCCTCTGCTTCCAGTACCACAGTGTCAATGCCCTCTCGGGCCAGCACAGAGGCCGCATAGGAGCCCGCGGGTCCGCCCCCGATCACGAGAACTGTGCAGGTTTTGGGAATTGACATATTGGTAAGTAGGAATGTTTCTTGCTAAATGCAAAGTTACTTTGGCAGACATCGCCATTACCAGGGATCAGGACAGGCTTTAGTAGCCTGACGGTCCACGGAGTTTGGGGTATCTAATTCGTATCATCGCACTAGATACAAGCAACAGCGGCTCAATAGTACGTCACCAGCTCATGAGGTCGACATGCCGAGTTGCGTAGTAGTGTTTCATCTCGTTATACCGTACATATCATCGAGATGCAAACGGCTCTATTTCTCTGTCGACTCTGTCGACAACCAAATGACTCTCTGAACCGGCATTTTGGCAGCATACCAATGGATGTCACGGGAGTTACACAGAATCAAAAGCAATGTTACGCAGAGATCAAGTTTCGAAGATCTTTCCCCGAACAGAGGAAGATAGGACCTGGGTTGCGTAACCAACAGGATCATGGGAAGTGTATGGCACAAGGAACGCTCTACTAGACGGATTCAGAAGCACACTATTTGCGTACTTACGTTGCTCCTTGGTGTAGCATGAGCAGCTGTACGTGTCATATACTACAACTCTAGGCGTTTCATGAAAGAGCTCGAGCCGTAAAGAAGTCTGCAGCCGGTCGGCCGGACGGCCGGACGGGTTTTTACATTCCTTCTCGGATATACTATTGAGAATGAGCCCCCCGCATTTCCACTCGGCACTTGCTTTGCAGAAATTCCTGCCCTATTCCCATCAAAATACCTGGCGCACTAGCCCATTCGATTGACCATACAATTGACAAACAATGGACCAGGCCGATGCACCTGTTTCCGGTTCGGGTAAGAGCACCTATTACCCTACCTACTGACCGAGAGGAAGTAGGATCGTCAGTTCCGCTGAGGAATTTCAGAAAGGCCCAGAGAGTTTCGTAGCGTTGGGGTCACGAAGATGTACCATAAGACCTACCCTCTTCAGTGGATTGTTGTTCTAGACGTGCTATCATCTGCCGGCGGGGTTGTAGCCCGTAGAATGCATCTCCCGAGGGGCTATATACAAACCATGTGACTGGCTTGTACCGGTGCAGGGATTGCTACGTTACAGAAGAGCGGTCTTGGTAAAGTTGACCAAGGCCAGGATTTCCCTCCTTTGCGGTTTATGCCTTACTTGATGGCTCATATCCAAAAGTTTTCGCACGCGGGATGAGAATCATCTAAGGTGTTGCTTTAAAGTGGCATACCGATAGAGATAAGTGTCCAGCACCCATAAAGGAATGACAGAGACCGGTAGGTAATGGGGCTGCTGAAGAATCCTTCAAAATTAATTGTTGGGGTTGGTTCAGGAGTGAGTTCCTACCGCGGCTTATCGAAGAGGAAGATTCCAAAGAGAAGACGTTGCTAACCCATGTTCGGAGATTTGCATTGCATGATCAAGGTGCTCAAGTTGTACAAGTAGAATTACTGTTTTTGGAGTTTCCAAATCCGGCGAGATTACTATGCTCTCATGTTCCATCAAGAAGGCCACAGTAGTTGAAAGCCGCGATCAACTGCTTCATTGCCAGTATAGTCGGCGAAGCCACCTGCAAATTCAACATGGGGAACCTATAATTTGCAGCCAGATACTTAAAATATCATAAAAAGTATGCGATACCAGTGACAAGGAAGATTCTATAGTGAATTGAGCAAGGTACTCATGTAATCTGAATAATTTGCCCGGGGCACAGAGCACAACTGTTGCTCTGGAAGGGATCTCGTAGGTAGCTTACGTCATGCCAAAGAATAATGCACACTACCCATATTCTAATTTGAGCAAGTACAGGTAGTTTGAATGCGTATATAGGTGGGGCTCAGCGCTTCTTAAGTCGTTTTGACTCTCCACTCCTTGCCCAACGCTGCAGCCGAACATTTATATCATGCAAAATGCTACACATATAAACTGCGACACGGTACATACTGTGTAATGGGAAATAGTATGACAGTCTAGTGAGTAGATTGAGGCCAAGCTAGCCTATTCCCGGTTAGACATGCAGGCCTTTTCCTAACTCTCACTCAAAACGGTGCTTTCTATGGTGAGTTGTGGAACACCTACAAAGAAAGTCGGCTGTATAAATAGGTCCTCTCTCATCCATCCGAGATGAATTATCGCATATCAATTTGGCGTCCAGTACACCCCTCATATAGCGAGCTTGGAAAGCCTTGCGTCAACGAACTGCAATCATGACCGGAATCATGAACTATCTCCGTTGGTCTCGAGCGACGGACTCGGGTATCGAGATGTCCGCTACTATCACAGCAAGCTCGTCATCGCCTAGTTGGGGTGTGATAGAAATCAAAGATTTACGCGATAAGGACAACAATCCTGTGGACTTTACCAAGGATGACTATCTTGGTATTGCATTGCTATCGCCTGTCAAAGTCGAGGATACAGAGGTCAATGTTTCAACTGATCCCTGGTACGATTTTACATGTGAGGTTAGCAATTTCTCGAGCGGTAACGATGTCGAAGTCCTTGTGAAGATCACATTCAAGCCTAACTGGGATGGGGAAGCCGACAAGTTCCAAGTCAAAGATGTTCAGCTGGAAATGGCTGGCGATCCTCAAGATGACCACTACAAAACCTCGGTGCGTCTATGGAAGAATTTTCTGCCCGATGAAACCGGTATCGTCCCAATCGTGTGTGACAGCCGACCGGATGGGATTCCCTACTCCAACCAAACGGTGGTTTTCACAAACGATGATGGGATCATCATGAAAGAGGTGCCGTTCGGTCAAAAGACTGAGATCACCTTGAACCGGGGCAACTACGGAGTTGCTGCTACAGAAGTTTTCACGGACGATGAAACCACCGTTGCCGCCGCGAAGGCTCAGCCAGACCAAGTGGAGGTCAAACAGGGGACTACAAGCTCAGATGTCAACGTTACGTACGATGTTCATCATTACAGCGCGACAGACGTTGTAATTGACAACATATCCGGGCTCGAGGGAGAGGAAGTGCATGTCAAGTTCAGCAGCGAAGACAGTCTGCTCCATGACTTTTGGAGTTCTGTTCCACAGACCACAAAGCCACGTCGAGTACTCCCATCGGATGGCAACGCAACTATTAGCGTTGATTCAATGATCGTGAATAATGTTCAATATGACTTCACTCCGAAGCAGATTGATTTATCAAGCAATGAATCTGTCTTGTTTACGGCTGGCGATGTTATTCAGCATCAGATAGAAGCCTCGGGTGCCGTCAAGCTACCCATCCAGCTGAAAAAGACGGGCTCAATAACCGCAGGAACAATGGTGGTGCACCTCATTCAGAAAAACACCCGCCTTATCTACATGGAAAAGGTAGACATGAACGAAGAGTATCCCCAGTTCCAGGTATTGGTGGCCCCAGGGGATTACGAAGTGCAGGCAAATCGGTTCATCGAGAATGGAATCTTGTATAAACCCACATTTGACCCCAGTATCGCCGTCAGCGAAGATGGTAGTACTGAACTGGAACTGCAGGTGGAACTCGTCGTCAATCTCAATGTCCCTGGCTTCCCCAACTTTTTGAGTTTCGGTGCCTGCACCCGGGACCTCAGCGAACCTACGAAATCGGAAGACACCGACAACGACTTAACAGACTTTGTGGAAGCTGGTGCATCGTCAATATTCAAATATGCTGGTCAAGGCGGCGACGGTGACCCCGAAGTTGATCTAACAGAGGCTCTAGAATGCACACCAAGAGTGATTGCCCTTGCGAGCGATATCGAAAAAGCCATCGGAAGTGATCATACTGTCCTGCCAGTGTTGATCTCATATACCTGCAACTTTTCTGGGGGGAACGATGTCCTGACAGACACCACCAGACACCGACATAGCCTTGGAAATTTCATTCAGTCGCTACAACTTACCATGAAGAGTGACCAGGCGCCACGCTCTCTACGCGCTGCGTACATCCTCAACCCCGATTTCATCGGCGAGTGCCAGAAGCGCGGGTACGAAGCGGACTCAGAAGTAGCGTTCCTCAATGCTTTGAAAGAAGCCCTTGAATTCCGGGGCGAAGCAGATAAGGTCGAGCTTATCCCTACCGACATTGACGATACCCTTCGTGGATATGTACGTGCACTACACTGGCTGGTGCGGACTCTGACAAAGGATCCCGACACCGGTAAGCCTGCCGTTTCGCTCGGGTGGCAGGTCAATCTCTGGGCAGGAGAAGCCGCCGGTGCAGTGTGGATTTACACGGACGAAAACCAGGCATCGGACAAGGCGAAGAAAACAGCCGACTACTTAGATGAACTTGGGGTATGGCCCAAACAAGCCTCCCCGCAGGCGGATGATGATGAGCTAGCTCCCCTCGACTTTATGGCTGTTGATCGCTGGGAACGCGATGATTACAGAAATGATAGCTACCCCAAATTCTTCTGTTTTGCTCCGCGCGAATGGAGCAGGTACTTTGACTTCTGTGAAACGCTTGGCGCAGAACTGCATGCCCCGATCATGCCTTGGCAGGTGTCAGCAGCTCGTACGCCAACCTTCAAAGATGACGTTTCGAACAATTTCTCGACAGCACAGCATTGGGGTACCGGGGGCAGCTGCATTTTGGGTGATCCAGGTATTGGATCCGAGTACTACCGCATCCACAAGAAGATCTTGTCGCTGGGATTGGATGAGGTGCAATTTCACGTTAAAACCGTGGAAGAGCTATGGAAGCGCTCCCAGCCCTTTGATATCAGCATTCCAGGTTATCAAGGCCTCCATTTGCGGGGAATCTTCGCTGTCCTGCTAGGTGGAGGTGACACAACTGGCATTGTGAGTAGTCTTCCTCAGGCTGGCGAGAAGCAGGATGCTTGGGTGCGGGAAAGACTCGGAGAATATATCAAGGACCCGATCTATTTCCAAACCGATTGAGGACGGAGCGTGTTATCGAATGCTACAACTGAATTCAGGACATCGTTGTCTGCCGTTTATGCCGTTACTGTGATTTTCGGGTTTCTAATGTGGCACTAGCCGCCTGCACTTAGGTTTAGGTGGAACTTGCAAGCTGTGTTCAGGATGGAACAGAATGACTACGTTTTGAATGCTGAGGGCTAGTGCTAATGATTATAGCTTTTGAACATTAAGTTCTGTGTTCGTAATCATGTTTATGATCGAGAATGGAAGAATGTTTATTGTTGTTGTGCTTTTTGTTGCATCAGAATGGCGAGTGGGATGTCTTCCTCGTCGTAGAATTCGACGTCCTCTTCGACCCCAAAGTCACGTAGTCGCTCGCCCTCAGAGTTCTTCCATCCTTCCTCGCCATCTTCGGGCTCAGTACTATAACCCGGCGAAGATTCCCGAGAGGAGCCGCTCTGATATATTTCTTCTTGGGCCCGATCATGGAAGCGCTTACGACGTCTGATTTCCTGGCTAGCTCTCGGCGCCCCACTGGGGCTATCAGTGGTCCTTCCGTAAATTGCTGGAGTCTGGGGCTCGACATCATCTATGGCTGTTCTGGCTGTAACCGGGATTCTGTCTGGGTCGGGAGGTGGCCAGGTAACATTAGGATCTATTTTGGGGTCAGTCCGTCATTGATGTAGGCGCCATATAGCAAGTTTCACTAACCTTCAAAGTCGTTAACTTCGAACTCTAATCCTGTCCGACGATCAGGAGTTCTGGCCAGCGGCCAAAACCAGCTCAGAACCTAAATAGCAGATTAGCTTGCAGCGAAGAAAAAGTATATTGATAAAAATCAACCAACATTTGCAGTTCCACCCATTCCAGCCTTGATGTTGGACCAGATTCCGATATCATACGGAAACTCTTGCTTTTTTATTCGGATCCTGACGCCACCTGGTCCAGTCAAATACCCACCGAAGTGACGAGACCGACGAACCAGCGTTTGATGTCGTTCAATTTCCCATTCTTCGATGGTCGTCGTATTGATGCTCATAGACCAGATGGTCCGACCGAGGAGGATCATGAGAAAGAAGACCGTAAAGCTGTTCACTACGAGGAGAACAAATAGATGGCCCATCTGCAGCGCACTAGGGCCTAAGTACTATGCAACATCTGCATCAGCTTGCGTCGTCTTGTCTAGAGTTATCATCTTACGCTCGGACGATTCCGGGAAGCCCAAATTATTGACGCTCTTTCATAGAGAAGGGTTTCGAGATAAGACATTCCTGTTACGGCGTAGAACAGGAAACGCACGAAGTGAGGGAACGTGAAGTGCGAGACACAGTTAGAGGTCCATGGGCAATGATGGTCCATCTTTGGGATGCATCTGCAGCTGGCATCAGTATGACGCCCTAGCTATTGGTATGACATAACTAACCTTTGGCACGTCCGACAATGGTGGGCTCTTGGCGGCTTGTATGCCTCACATTTACGGCACCATCGTTGACGACCACTAGCACGGTCGGCTTCGAGTTGCTTACTGTCTAATGGCTTCCAATCTTTGGAAATGCGACCAGGATCTACAGTGCAAGTTCGATAATAACATATCCAGATGCACAGGGCAAAGATGTTGAGGCGCCATAGCTCGGTGTCCCTGAGCGGAGCTGGCTCGAAGTACAGAAAGAAATACTGCGAGCTGTATGCGAGGAAGCTAATTAAGATGCAAACTGAAGGAATCGCCAGTTGCGACAACCGGAATGAAGAGCTAGCCATGCTGGTTGCATATCACATCTCCGAGTCCAACCACTGGCAGCACGCGATGAATGATGGAGAGGCAGACAAGACAGAATGTTGTCGATGTTGACAAGCCACGTGGTGTGGCTGACTCAGCGCACGTGATCAATGAGCCATGTTGTGCGTGGAAATACTCCTTCACTCATTCTCCGTCTCCATTGAGCATCCAGGACAGTCTATTGCATCGTATACTTCATCTAAATTCTGTTATATAGTATATATTCTGAAACTACTCATCGGTATTCTTGTTCAAGGCCACCCAAATGACTGATCAGTCACTTGTGTTCTGTTAAGGATGCCAATCGCCGCGCTGTCCCCAGCAGCGGTGCGGGCAATTGGCTCCGCGTCTGTTATTTCCGATCCCTGCTCCATTGTCAAGGAGCTCCTGGACAACGCCTTGGATGCCACAGCTACTTCAGTCTCCATTGAGATCTCACAGAATACACTTGACGTAATACAAGTGAAAGACAATGGCCACGGTATCCCCGCTAGTGACCACCCTTTTGTCTGCAAACGCACCTTTACCAGCAAGATCCAATCCGTCGAGGATCTTAGAACTATCGGTGGGAAATCTCTAGGTTTTAGAGGCGAAGCACTTGCTAGCGCAGCGGAGGTATCCAGTGGCGTGGCTATCACCACTAGAGTACCGCATGAGCCGGTTGGTTCTTCTATCAAATATGGTAGAAATGGAGAGCTTCTAAGGTGATTACCACCGCCGATTGAGACAGTCCAAAGCTGACCTACGTAGTACCCAGCGAGCGTCACATCCGGTAGGTACCAGTGTCCGCATAACGGACTTGTTCAAACACATCCCTGTCCGGAGACAAACTACGATAAAGAACGCTGCCAAGACACTCGTCAGGATCAAGAAGCTCGTACAAGCATACGCTATTGCCCAGCCCTCCAAGCGTTTGTCTTTAAGGGTCCTCAGAGCAAAGACAGAGACAAACAACTGGATATATGCCCCAGGCAACAACACTAGCCTCGTAGATGCAGTATTAAAAATTGTGGGCACCGAAGTTTCCTCTAGCTGTCTTGTCAAGGCCTGGCCACCTGAGAACGACAGCGACAGGTCTTTTCGAATAGTCGCGCTTCTTCCTAGGCCAGAGTCCGGTATGTAGCTGTTCTGTGAGTACTTGAGTGTGACTGACAGAGTCAGACCTTACCAAGGTAAACGGGTCAGGTCAGTATATCAGTATCGATGGCAGGCCTTTATCGACCACCCGAGGAGTCGCGCAAGATATTGCCAAACTATTCAAGTCTTATATACGCTCGCTTGCTTCCAGTCAGGAGCCATCTCCAAGCATAACCGATCCGCTTCTGTGCCTTCAGCTCCAGTGCACTAATGCAAGCTACGACGTCAACATTGAGCCCGCCAAAGATGATGTCCTTCTCGAAGACCAGGAGGAGCTTCTCTCCTTGGTGGAAGAGCTTTTGTGTGATGTGTACGGTATCGAAGCAAAACCAGCCGAGAGATCAAGGACTGCCAAAAAGGAGAAGGAGCCTGCTCCTTATCGAAACTCTTTTGACATCCTTCTCGCCAGGAAAAGTCCGGATGACTCACGGGCAAGCAGTTATGTATCCTCCTCAACACCACGGACTCCGGCTGTAGTGGAACAACATAGCGCACACACAGAGAATCGTCTGGAGCTGAGAAGTGTGAGCAGCAACCCCCGGTCATTAGCTAGAAATAGCATGCCGATGCCGACACGCGACATTTCCTCGTCGCGCAGTGATAGGGACAACACAGTAAGGAGTGGAAACGTGCGATATCCGACTGAAAGCCGGAGAACCTCACGGGAGAGACTGCAGACAAGCTCTCCAGGGTTCATCTTACCGAGTCCCTCTGCCAGCTCGACGACTGCTCCTGGCTATGTGACTGAGGCTCAGTCTTCGCCATCTAGTCCAGGCACACCTCAAACTCCTCTTCCCAGGACAAGGCAAGCCTCGATGGACCATGGTACGCACCCTGAAAACGGAGCCCTTGATAGCTGGCTGAGGAAAACTCCAGTCCCTTTGTCTCAACCAAACATTGGCGAGGTACCTGTAGACGATGGAGACGAGCGCTCATTGCAGCACTTGGCGCAAGAGCGATTTGGCTCACCAGAAAGGTCACCAAGTGGCTCAGCATCAATAGAGAATGGCATTGCTACTGCTCAGAACCAATGTTCCGAGACCCAGGCTAGCCCCGCCGAAGCAGACGCGGAGCCTGAAGAAACTGGTTCTCCCTTGCTTGGAAGTACTGCAGACTCCGAACCTAAAGAAAAACATGCGCCTGCGCCTGAGAAGTCTTCCGCTACTCTACGCCAGCTTCTTTCAGGAAATAGTCACCAGGAGCTGAACCGTGCACTCGACTTTGAAAACCGCAAGAGGGAGGCTATCCTTAGGCGTCGAGAACAACTTAAAAGTCGGCGAAACCCGACCACAACGAGTTCACCCCATCTGAGTCGGTATCTAGCCGCCAAGGCTGCACTTCACAGCCAGCCTGATGCTAACCGGGAAGAGGAGCCGACCGTTAAGCCCGTGCTGAGTCCACATGACCCACGGTCGTGTTTAATGCGTTACAGGGTGCAAGACCAGAATGAAGATGGCACATCAAGAACCAGAAGGATCAACACGGACAAGTTGCCATTGGAAAGCATTCCAGACGGAAATGAACTACATAGGCTGGGTCTGACCCAGCAGGCCGACATTTCACTCATATCGACCACTTACGACCATATAACCAAGACAGATCTGTATACTGGATGTGGTGATCAATTTTTCGCCTTTGACCATTCACATAAAGATACCGAGAGTGTGTTTGATATCTGGAGATATCGACTTAACAATTTAATGCAGAGCAATTACCAGACTGAAATACGGTCGGGATTGCCGGATGTGCATTTCAATTTCTCTCGTTTAGCGCAGCGCGGGCAATCCAAGTGATAGCATTTGTTATCTATCTTATCTTATCTTATCGGCGCCAGCTAGCGGTTCAGCTGTTCGAGTGACCTGCTTTGCATCAAATTACTATACCTAGACACAAGATGTTAATATACAAGGTAGCAAATATTACCTCTAAACTAATGTATCCGCCCGCAATATGAACACGAACCTGAACCTCGGCAGGACTGATCAGGGTCCAGTCTGGCCCTGGCAGGGCGGCTCCACCAGCCCGCAAAGCAGTGAACGTCATCGTCATGACGCCGTTACATAAGACTGACATCAACTGGCACCCCCCTTCTATAAAACCAAATCCAGTTCCTCCCACAAACCCGATCTTTTTCAACCTCAACCACAGTTGAGTGATCATCACAGTCAACATGAACATATCCGGGAGCGCTCCCTTCGGGAACGACTATATCCCACACCCCCACCCTCACCCGCGGCTTCACACGGCCGACATCGGGATCTTCAAATCGACCATCCTCCCCTCCTTCACTCTCCACACGACTCTCGACATCGCTGCCTTTATCGCATCCAAGGCTACCGACCGCGCCGAAATCAAGGACTGGTGCTGGCCTTCTAGCCAAGTCATCAACGCCTGGTGGAGCGCCATTGGACACCAAGTCTACTACCACAACATCTCCCCGCAAACTGCCTGGTCGACTCTTTCTTGGACGGAAAAGGTTCTCTTGACTTGTGTTACGGTCTGGGGTACTCGGCTCTTCACCCGCATCGCATCTCGGACTATCACCCGCGGCAAGGATGACCCGCGCTATGACCAGCTGAAGAAGGAAGACCCCAATGGGTTCTGGACCTCGGCTCTGCTCAAGCAGTATCTCCCTGAGGCGGCTTTCCTCACCCTGATCGCCCTGCCCTTCACCGTGCCGTTCCGATTGACTTCGTCGACATTGTCGCTGGACGGAGACGTCCAGTCTGTCGTCCGGGCAATCGGTGTCGCACTCTTCGGCGCTGGATTCGCCCTGGAGGTTATGGCCGATGCGCAGCTCGAGATGCACCGTCAGGAACGGACCGATCTGTGCAAGCACGGCGTGTGGAGTATCGTTAGACACCCTAAGTAAGCTATCCCTTCTCATCCTCATCTCTAATACCTCTAAGGGATCTCACGCTAATGAAACCAGCTACCTCGGCGACACCCTCGTCCACATCTCCTTCGCCGTTCTCAACGTCGCCAACAACTTCAACCCGATCGTCCTGCTCGGCCCCCTGACCAACTACTTCTTCCTCCGTTTCGTCGGCGGCGACCGCCAGACCGAAGCCAGCCAGGAGACACGGTACCGCACTGAGGACCTGCACAAATACGAGCAGCTGCAGAGTTGGCGCCGCGAGAAGAACAGTTTCTGGCCCGGTTTCACCGAGGTAGTGAACCCCTGGACGTGGGTGGTTCTTGGAGCGGGCGTGCTGGGCGTGGTCGCAGAAGAGGGTATTCGGGGCTGGCTTACTCAATAATTGAATTCTCTCGGTTAGTTAGTATATGTATGAACTAGTCATGAATTAATAACACCAAAAGTCATATACATGAATTCATTCAACCGATAATAATGAGGGTTAGTACCCCCTCCCCCTCTTAAACCCGTTCAACAACTCCTCCCCCCTCTCCAATCTCCCCACATTCTCCCTCATAATATCCAGCGAACGCGGAATATACTCCCTCCCTGCGGAGCTAACATGCGGACTGATCTGCACATTCGGCGTGTCCCACAGTGGACTATCCTCGGGCAAGGGTTCCGGGTCAGCCACATCCAGCGCCGCTCCACCCAACACTCCCTCCTTCAGCGCCTTAATCAGCGCATCCTGATCAAGTACCTTGCCGCGAGAGATATTCGTAAGATACGGACGTGGTCGACTCGCAGACACACCATTACTGAGAATCTTGAATTCCTCAGCTCCAAGCATGCGGGTGGTCTGCGGAGTCAGCGGCAGCGCGATCACCAGATGGTCGAGCCCCAGAGACAGGAACTCGTGAATTGAGGCCTTGTCTGTCCCATGGTGCCAAGATACAGGGATCGTGCCATCGCGGTCGCCGGTGCCGGGGACGATGTAGCCGTTGTCTTTCCGAGAGGCAGGAGTCGGGCGAGGAGAGGCTGTGTAGGCGTGGACTTGCATTCCGAGGGCCGAGGCGACGCGGCCGACTTATACCATTGTTAGTACTTTGGTTGAAAATGTGCAAAGGGTGAGATGGGAAATGTACTTTGTCGTCCGATACTTCCGTATCCAAGGATTCCGACTTTCCTGCCAACTTGATCATGGACGGTATTCATGAAATCAACATTCTTGGCCCAGGTATGTTTCTGTTGGTTCTCGTGGGTGTAGACGAAGCGTCGCGAGGCGACGAGCCAGTTCATGATGGTCCATTCGGCGATTGGGGGGCCGTGGATGCCGGAGCTGGACGTGAGAGGGATGGACGTTTCTTTGACGATGGGGTGGGAGAGGAGGTGATCAAGTCCGGAGGAGAGGGAGTGGATCAGTTTGATTCTGTTTTAAATTGAATTATATTAATTTCGTTCTATTCCTGTAGCTGACTTTTGGGGTGACAGGGGGGAGGGTTTACTTGGATGCATCTTCCGGGGCCGGGAGATTGCTAAAGGTGACGAGGAGAGTGGTTTTGCGTGCGATTTCTGGTATGTTCAGCTGGTTGGTGATGGACTCAAATTGAACAGGGATTGAGATGCAAGCACTGACCAGCAGGAATTGGCGCGAAATTGGGCAGCTGCAAGATGGAAAGTTCGGCGTCGGGGAATTTGGCCTGCGTCTCGTCGATCAGCCATTGCGGAAGATCGCGGGCGTAGGTGATGACTAGGTGCTCTTTGACGGGTGGTGCTTCGCCCATGTTGAGAGTACAAGACATGTATTGGTTTAGAAGGACGGAGAAATGGATTTGGGGATTATATTGAGGGTAATCAATGAAAGCAATGGCGCCATTGAGGGGATCTTTTGCGCTTCTTTAATTTATGCGCCGAATGTCCGGTTGGAGACGGATTAATAAGCGCGGGGAGGAGAAATCGGAGATTAAAAGATGGACCCAAAGAAACAGAGATAACAGAGATAAAAAAAAAAACAACATCTTATCATCATTCCTTGTCTACAACCCGACCAGAGTGAAGCTGATGAGATACACAACAGAGGTCTATACATAATACGCATAAATAATATCGCTGCATGGCAGTCCGTCTTACTCTCACTCCCAAGACTCACAACGAAATCAGCCTCGGCCCGCAAAGCCATGACCGATCGGCGGTTCGCTTGCAGACGTCGCGCTGGGTAGCTGCAATCCCAAGTTTGTGTTCCATCTGACGCATCTGACAGCCTCACATCCATGGTTCGGATAGCCGCCGGCATCGCCTCAGCCCGCCATCCCAGTGACCTGTTTTTGCGACCAGTCAGTCCCTCAAGCTGTGGAGATGCCAGACGGGATGCAGAACATGGGTTCATCGGGCGCCAAACTTTTTCTCCGACAACCAACACAGTTACACAGCGGGTGAACCCGCCGCGAACGGGTGGACGGACAATTCAGAGCTTGTTTTCCCTGCAGCATGGTTTGTTTGCTTTGACAATCTCCATCAGCCTGACTCGTGTTGCCTGTCACATCACAATCGGAACAAAGGCACAGCGAATCACAATGCGATCCCTCTGCTAGTTCGTTCCAACACATCCACTGGCTATCCACTGACATTCAGTGCTCAGGAACGCCAGGCCCGTTCAGCTGCCCCCAAAGCTGTCCACTGCATGTCTACCATGAACGGCCCACTGCCGACAAGCCAATCGGTTCCAACTTCCACCTCTCTCATCTCACTGCTGGCCAAGGTGCACGTCCCATGTCTCGTGCCGAACTGTGTCGATCGCTGTGGGTCGAGGGTCCAGCCCGCCAGCTCTCTATCTTCAGAGTTTTGCCGGCTGAACCCTCGACGGTCTGACACCCCAATAATGGACCAATGCAGGGTGTTGTTTAGCTTCTTTCTGCTATTCTTCCGCTCAGCGCACGGCATATCCGTCCTTAGCAGCAATTGTGGCGCCCATCAAAGTGTGCTGAGCAACCTATCAAACCCTCCAACACCATGCCGGAAATGACGAAAAGGAGCTTGGATCAAGCACCACCCCGCTACAAATAAAGGGGTTGGACCCTCTTCACGAACAAATTAATCGCACACAATCCGCTAACCTTTTCACCCTTTCCTCTTCCTCAACTCACCATGGCCGTCCCTAATCGCCGACCCAACTTCGCCCGACGGCTCCTCCACGCCGCCTTCGATCGCGAAGAGCAAGGCCTTCCTCCTATCCCACAAGGACATTCTCATCACACCAATCCACCCTATGATATCCCTATCCCCAACGGCAGCGCGAGCACTGCCCAGCCCATGCCGGCTCCTCCAACCAACATCCAAACACACGGCCCCATGCCAACAGCACACATGCCCGCAAATAAACCCCCTCTCACCATCTCCACGACACAAGCCAGCTCCCTCATCCCACCCCAAGACAAACTCCTCGTCTTCCGCGCTCTCACCGGTATCGACAGCATCCCCGCCCTCAACACCCTGCACCACTTCAGTCGCACGGCCCCCAACATCGGCATCTACACGCGTGTCGTGGAGGCCGAAAAGTCCGCTGCCACGCGCTACCGCTTCTTCAGCATCCTCATCAACGTCTGTCTTGGCATCCAGATTGTCGTGGCCGCTGCACTAACGGCTCTCGGCGCTGCCAGTGGTCCTCACTCCGCCGTAACGGCCTTTGGCGCCATCAACACCATCATGGCCGGCGTGCTGACTTACCTGAAGGGCTCGGGGCTACCGGATCGCTTGAAACACTATCAGAACGAGTGGCGGAATATACGGGAATATATCGAGCAGCGCGAGCGCGAGCTGTGTCTGGCTGGTTGTTCGTTAGATATCCAGGACGAAATCCAGTTCATCGAGTGTATGTATGAGGGGGTCAAGAGGGAGATTGAAGCTACAAAGAGCGGAGAGAATCGTTCGAATGCGAGAGAGGGACTGAATCGCCGGGCATTCTTACCTAGACAGGGAGGTCAGGCACAACAACATCCCCAGGGAGAGGGACACCACGACTACGGCTACGGCCACCAGGGACAACAGCCGCAGGCGTACCCACACTCATACCCACAGGCACCAGCTCCGGGTCAGACCCAAACTTACCCGCACGACCCGCGGATGTCGAGTCCAATGCGGAGTCCGGAGCCTGTCATGTTGGAAAAGACTCTTTAGGACACAGCACGAAGGGTTCACCACATATTGATCTATGGATTATAATTTTTATGATAATGTTAATGTCTACGATAATCAAAGTACAGTCATCCAAGCGGATTTACAGGAAATGGTGGTGGCCTGACAGGAACCCACTAATGCATCTTAGCTACACACTAGTCCAACCAAGTGCCGGGCAGTAATCCTCGTCTCACCCCCCAGCCATTCATATCTCTGCACCGAGTAATTAGCGCGATTAGATAGTATCTTAGCGTTTGCATATAAATCGTAATCTCCGTAAGCCGTGTCGGCACAGCTAATTAGCTGGCTATTTAATTTCAACGCGCTTCCTGGTTTTTCCTTCTCACACCCGGAGTGTGTCATTCTGCTCTGTTCAGCAAATCCAACTCCCAGTACTTACCAAATCAACAACATCATAAGAGATAAGAACGAAATTCAAAATGCTCAAACAACTCCCCTGTACCTCCTCCGACGCCGACGCGCTCGCAACCCTCTACCTTCAATGCTTCACCACCCCCACAGACCAGCGTCTCTGGCCCAACACCCCCGAAATCCACGCTTGGTGGGTAGCCAGCTTCACCCGGAAACTGACGGAGGGGCTCGATAAATACTACATCCTGAAGGTGATCGATACGGAGAAAGATGACGAGCTTGTCGGGTTCTTAGAGTGGAAGCTCCCTCAAGCTCCCCCGGTGAATGACACTGAAAAGGAGATGTATGCCGAGGGGAAAGACCCCGAAACCCAAGAACTCCTTGCCACGTACCCATCTCACGTCGGTGATATTGGGCTTCTTGTGGAAACGTTGGAGCAGTTTAGGACTAACATTGGGGGTATTATGGGAGAGAGGAAGTTTTATTGTATGATTTATCTTTCCCCCATTGTTTGAATTGGGTTATTCTGGTTGTGGATATGGCTAACTGAGTAGATCTCAACATGCTCGGCACGAAGCCCGAGTACCGACGACGGGGCGTCGCGTCGGGGATGATCGAGTGGGGAACAAGCCGTGCGGATAAAGAGGGTCTCGAGACGTTTGTGGTTTCTGCTCCTGGGGCAAGGCCCGTGTATCTGAAGCATGGATTTGAGCTTGCGAGAGAGGGAGAGGATCTGGGGAATTTTGTGCCTTGGTATATGGTTCGGAAGCCCACGGTTGAGGCAAAGAAAGAAAAGAAGAGAGAGGTGGGATATGCAAAGTGGTTGTTGGGAGTCTCTGCTGTGCTTGGGGTTGGGGCTATTATTTACCAAAGGGTGTATAGGAGGGCATTGTAGACGCAGTTTCTTTGTATATAGATTCTTTCATTACTTGCTATTAATCGTTTTAATCTGCCACCAACTCAAGTGCATGTCTCATCACTCATTCCCATGTCACATCACGTCAATAAATACCAATCTAAGCAGCAGCCCGACCCTTTGTCTCAGGCACGGCCATCCAAGCACCACCCATAATCACCCAAACCGCACCGCAGAACCACACCGCTGCGCCATCGGCAACAGCACCCTCAAATGTCGTGATAATACTAGCAATCAGTCCAAAGAGTCCCCAGCAGAATCCCACAACTCCCAATCCGAAGCCCCGGAACGGCGCCGCAAACACCTCCACCGAGTACGTAACCAGCACAGCCATCGTCGCCGTCTGCAAGAACGACAGGATACATTCGAATGCGAGCAGCGCATCCCTCGACCGCGACACCGTAGCCAAGAACATGAACAGACCCGTCAACACAGCGATGATAGATCCCGTGCACTTGCGACCGAGTCCCTTCGCCTCAATGAGAAGACCCACGACGATCGGGCCAGGGATTGCGCACAGCGCCACATACAGGTACCGGCTGTACAGGTATCCTGTAGTCACGGAGGTAGCCGATACCGCATCGACGCCCTTCGTGGCGAGGTACTTGCTGATGTAGGTCTTGTGCAGGGTAAAGGTCAGCCCGGTAATGGCCCAGAGGAGACAGAGAACGGGGAGGCCGATGGCGCCGGCAGAGGACAGGAGGGACTTGGTGCGCGACTGGCGGCGAGACTCGGGGGCGCTGGCATCTACGGTTGAGTCGATGCGAGCAAAGGAGGACTCCTCAAGCCAGGTCTTGCGGTTGCTGTAGGCAGCGATGTCCTTGACGAGCTGGGTAGTTTCGGCGTCGCGGCGCTTGGAGAGAAGATACTTGGGGGTTTCCCGCAGCGGGAAGGAGAATCGGCACAGGTATAGGAAGAGTGTCATGCAGCCGAAGGTCCACCAGACATAGCGCCAGCCCTTGTTGGAGACGTAGTGGCATTGCGAGCTGCTGCTGCTACTGCCGGAGTGGTCGGCACGGGATTGGTGTGACAGGGCTGCGCCGGTGCTGATCTCGTCGGGACCGGTTCCGCAGGTGTATTCGGCGATGAAGGCCCTGTGATTGTTAGACGATGTGATAGGTTATTTCGCAATAGGGATTTAGACTCACCATCCTACAGCTGCTGCCACCAGCTGGCCCAGTCCCCACATGGCACCCTGCATGGAGACAAGGAACTGGTGAGATGCGGGAACAGATTCGAGCAGAACCATCGCATCCACGACCTGGTTACCGGCCACTGCAAAGCCGACAACGAAGCCAACGACACAAAGGCCGGTGAAAGACGGCATTCCGGCACCGACGAGACCACCCATGCCCATCAGGACCAGGGTGCTCGTGAAGATCCACTTCCGGCCCAGCATGTCGGACATCCAGGGCCAGGCGGTGGCGCCGGTGGTCAAACCGACATACAGACTGATGAACAGGTAAGCCTCTTTGTTGTCGGTGTAGAAGAACTGGGCTTCATTGGCACTGGATGGGGCGATAACCGTGAAGGACATCAGCCAGAACTGTATCTATTAGCAAATTCCTCAATGTTCTCACTACATGTATAGGCCTTGACATACGCTATCGAGAAACCATCCCACACTGGTAATAATGAACAGAAACCACTGATACAACCCTATACCCATATCCAACATTGCCTGGTTCAGAAGCGCTGCCTTAGCCGCATAGACAGCGTCTGTCCCAGCGATAGAAGTGGGAGTGTCAATGGTGGATCCATAGACATTGGTATGAGGTCTGTCAGTGGGCGCTTCCTTAGAATGAGCCGCTTTCTCAACATCCACCACCAAAGTAGAAGCAAAGGCACTCTGGGCCTCGATGTTTCTCTCACGAGTCACGCCATCACTGGCCGCTGCAATATGTTCTGCACCCATTTTGTCTGGATTGATCATTCAGAGCGAGCGAACAGTGAGGGGAGAGGGGAAGTGAAAAGCCGGCAGCGAAGAACCCCGCTTTATGTAGACGCAGAGACACTGCGGATGTCACCCGATAGCCAAGCCATCCAGTAAACTGGATCACATTTCTTATCTTCGATTGGTACGTAAAAGCTTGCCGCGGAGAAATGCGGGTGGTCGTGCATCGTGAGTCACGCCGTGATGATACTGATATTGTCTATACCAACCATGATTCTTGGTAGACAGGACCTTAACAGATATAAGCCTTTTACTACCCTAGGTTTCACACAGGCCTTTTTATTTTAGCAAAAATGTGCGCAGCAATTCTCACCAAAGTGAGTTGCACGCGTGGAAGAAATTTCACCCGCCAGACCTCGGAGAAATCTGAGACCCACCTGGATGGAGGGGGCAGCGCGTCCTGTTCTTGGAGGCTTCCGGGCTGTCAAATAAGAACGGGGGAATGGCTTAGAGCGGCATTTGGGATGTATGCCATTGGTAGTTTGAATTTTCATCCCGCCCAAGCTTCTTCAGGCGTGAAGAGTACCGTAGCAACGCTCGGGTCGAGATCATGCCATTGCGGGCGAGACCCCACCGGTGAGGAAAATTTTGATCATGTTGATAACTGATAGGGGTGGATATGGAGCATACCTTATTGGGAGGCTTCCATGGTTCAAAGATCTTATCTTTGACCCGCAGTTCACAGTCCGCTGATTGTGTTTAGGGCAGTGGTAGGATAGCTGACTTACAGATCAGGGCATGTCACAGTCTCAGAGTTCTATCTTAGCTTTGGCTTGTTGCTCGACAAGCACTCCACCCTTGGAGTAGAGTGCCTTCCAGAAAAGCAATCGCCTCATTGAAGGCTTCATTTCGAAGCTGGATATTTTGCGCCACGGATCTCGAAATATCCTGCTGCCTAGCGGGACCACACCCCTCTACATCACCAGTATGTCAAAATCAAGTCCATTAGTTGGGCATCAGCAACACTACAGCACACCCGAAGTCTCCGCCATCCGGCAATTGTAGGAGGGGTAACAGGGTCGTCGTCGAACCCTGCATGCGGAGTTTAAGCTGAGTCGAGAAAGGGGTAACCCCGGACTTGTAGTCGGCGGAAGCCGCCGTCGGCCGAGCATCCCTAATACGGCAGGCGGAAAGAACTTATCAATCGCCAACTGGTGAATCCGACGTCATCGGCTTACGGACTGACTTCATCGCCTACAGCTATTATTAATATCAGTACCTCTCAATTGAGATATAACAGCGCTGCTCTCCAAACGTAACGAGACCTAGGTCGTAGCCAAGCTCTCTAAAAACATCATATCAGGCAGAATGACCACTCTTCCCAAGATCTTCATGTACCACTCCACTAGGCCGTACTACCGCATATATATCTCGCTAACACTTGACTTCCAGCACCGGCGCAACCGGCTACATCGGCGGCGATGCCCTCTACGCCATCTTTGCCAAGCATCCTGAATACAAATACACTGTGTTGGTTCGGTCCTCGGAAAAGGCCGCACAGGTCCAAGCCCAGTACCCTTCCATCAGAGTTGTCATCGGCGACCTAGACGACTCTGCCCTGTTGGAGAAGGAGAGTGCTGAAGCTGATATCGTTTTACGTATGCGCACCTCTGTTCCCTAGTGTGCACCGCTCTGGCTATTCAAACAGTGTACTAAAAGGATTCATAGACACCGCCGACGCCTCCGATCACGAAGGTGCCGCGAATGCCATCGCAAAAGGTCTAGAAAAAGGCCACAGCAAAGAAAAGCCCGGATACTGGCTGCATACCGGCGGCACGGGTATCCTTACGTTCCATGACACGGATCGGAACGTGTTTGGTGAAGGTAGTGACAAGGTCTATGATGACTGGGATGGAGTGGACGAGTTGTTGAATCTCCCGGAGCATGCGTTTCATCGCAATGTGGATCGGGTAGTACTGGACACGGCGAAAGCGAAGGGGGATGTGGTGAAGACGGCGTTGGTTTGTCCGCCTACTATTTATGGTATGCTAAATATCTTTTCCTTGGCATTAAGGGTGGATATGGTATTGATGGGTGTTGTATAGGACGTGGTCGAGGCCCTGTATCCGTGCGTGGGCGACAAGTCTACGAGCTGGCCAAGGTGACCCTGCAAATCAAAAAGGCACCGCTCATTGGAGATGGGAAGTCGGTTTGGAATAACATCCACATTTACGATTTGAGCGAGTTGTATGTGCTGCTTGTAGAGGCGGCCGTGCATGGACGTGATGATCCTGAGCTGTGGGGGGAGAGGGCATATTATCTCACTGAGAATGGGGAGCATGTTTGGGGTGAGCTGGCTGTGGCGACGGCTTTGACTGCGACAGAGCTAGGTTTGCTTTCTGCTGTCGAGAAGGAAAAGATCAGTTTGGAGGATGCGAAGAAGTATGGCGGGTATGAGGCGCTGAGTTGGGGATTGAATTCTCGGGGACGTGCCAGGAGAGGAGCCAAGGTGTTGGGATGGACGCCCACGCAGCCGAGTATTGAGGCGACGTTGCCGGAGATCTTGGAGGACGAGGTAAAGAGGCTGACCACTCAAGCACAGAGGGCATAGTCCGGATGCATGTGGGGATAGAACTATAGCTAGCTATCCAGCTTCATCTACACGTTACATGCACTACCCAATCGATGCAGCAGACTGCAGCCTACTCCTCCACCGGCGTATCCACCCCCCTAATTAACGTCTTGATCCCCTCCCCTCTAGCCGTAGTCTCCCACGCCTCAACCGCGTCCTCAAAGCCGACATTCTTCGTAATAAAAACTTTCAGCGGAATCCTTCCCTCCACAGCCATCTGCATCCCGAGCTTATAATCCCCCGGCCCATACCGAAAACACCCCTTAACCACCACCTCCTTCCCAACCACCGTTCCAATAGGAAAATCCACATTCTTCCTACCCAACCCCGTCTGCATAAACGCCCCTCCAACCTTCACCACCTCTATTCCAAGATTAATACAAGCCTCTGCCCCCGTAGCCTCAATAACAACATCAAACCCTGCATTTCCTTCCTCCTCATCACCGTCACAGAATTTCTCCACCAGCCTCCTCCCATCCACCTCCCCATCTCCAGACGGAACATACCCACCTCCCCAAACCCCCTTACCCACCACACTCTCCGCAAACGCCAACTTCTTCTCACTCAAATCCACACCCACCACCCTACTTGCCCCAAACTCCCTCGCCACAGCCATACACAACACGCCCACCGTCCCCGCCCCAAACACCACAACCTTCATCCCGGGCTTCACCCCCACCTCCCTGACAGACCGCACCGCCACACCCAACGGCTCCAACAGTGTCGCCTCATCCAGTCCCAACGTGCCCTCCGGGATACGATAACAGTAATCGGCCGGTAACTTGAAGAAGCGGGTAAGCGTGCCGTGACATACACCCGGGACGGCGGCGAACTTCATCTCCCGGCAGAGATTGTATCGTCCGGATTTGCAGAGATTGCAGCGGTGGCATGCGTACCCGGGTTCGAGAGCTACGGGATCGCCTGGCGAGAGGGTGGTTACTTCGGGCCCGATGGCGTGGACGATGCCGGTGGATTCGTGGCCCATTGTTATGGGATTGGAGGGGGAGATGGGGCGGTGGATGCCGCCGTGGAGGTAGAAGTGGACCTGTTTTTCTTTGGTTAGGGGCTGGGTGGGTGGATAAGGGGGGAAATCGGAGAAGGGAGGAATATATGTACATCGCTGCCGCAGACGCCGGTGTAGGCGATGCGAATTATTACGTCTGTTGGGGAGGTGATGGTGGGGATGGGTCGGTCTTCGTAGCGGGCGTCGTGGGCGCCGTAGAGGAGACAGGAGGGGTTGGACATATCGGTGAGGGCGATGGAGCCCATGTTTATCTTTTCTCGGTAATAAGATGTCTGGTGAGTGAGTGTGTGTATAAAAAGGAAAGTTAGTGGAAAAGAAGGATAAATCACATTAATGAATGGAGATATTGTTGTTTACCCCGCGGACAGTCTGATTTAAGATGCGGGGTTTCGCCGAGAGAGTCGCCGATGGGAATAGGTTGGGATCGTCGCGAAGATGGCACTATGTGGAGGTCTCGGTTAGCCCTACAGTCACTCTAGTACTGGGGAAGTATGGTTGAGTGTGTATAAATAGGCGAAATATTGTCTAACTAAAAATTATGTACGAAATTCTAACACGAAAACCACATTAGCTGGCATGCACCTTGGCCGGAGTATCAGACACCGATGCCATCGCACATTCCAGAGCACTCTTCAAGTCAATATGGAACAATGGCAAGTTCACCCCGGTCACCACCGCCGGCTTGCCATCTCCGCGTCGCTGCACAGCTGTCCTCTCCGAGCCCTTGGCTGCCTCGTCCATCTCCCGTATACTCAGGACTCCGGCGTTCTTGTCATCCCGACTCTTGCTCTGTTTTAATTGATCGCCGGCTTGCGACTCGATATCACTGGCGCGCTGGTCCGAACTATCTCCAGAGTATACTGCCTCCGTGATGTTGAAGATTGGCTTGAACTCAGGCACATCCAAAGGCCGACCGAATCCCGCGGCAGCGAGAGCCCGCTTGGTCCATCGGTTGTTGATATGGGCGAAGTGCCACTGGACTCGGTCCGGGGCGGCGTACCGGTCTAGTTGGCTCCGGACATCGATCAGATTTTGAACCGAGGTCACGTCGACGTTGTTGACGGCGGAGAAATCCAGAATGACTGCACGCAGCAAAGGCTTTTCTGTGGAGTTGGCGATTTGTTCGGCCTTGCTTTTGCGAGGGGCCGGGTCATTCCATGGTCGGTCGCCGGGGGTTGCATATAAGGATGGATTAGTGCGTCGGGTAGATTCGAAGATGTGTTCGACCAGATTGTCGGTGTAGTGGTTGGCGTTGGGGTAGTTGAAGCCTTCGGAGACGCGGTAGATGAAGATGCCTGGTGCGGGCTGGGTGATGGGGATGGTCGGGTTGGAACCGTCGGTGTGTTTCAGGGGAAGGAAGACAGTTCGACTAGAGGTGCGCTTGTAATCGGAGCTGGAAAGCTGAGCGGTAGTGCTGTATTCCTTGGCCGAGCCGGTCTCTTCTACAAGGTGGTCGCCAATGACGGAGTGGATCTGAACCTGGCCGAGGAACTGACCGCGGGCCTTGGCGACGCGGAATAACAGGACTGCAACCGAGATACAGATTGTGCAGTAGATGCCGTCCTCGATGCTGGAGAAGATAATGACGATGATTCCGATTAAAGCAATGACAGCATCAAGAGGTGACACGCGCCAGAATTGGTAGATGACTTTAGGTGGTGTGATCAAGTCGCCGACGGCGTGAATGATAACAGCAGAAAGTGATGAGCTGGGAATGAAGAAGAACAGAGCTGGAAGGGCGTAGATGGCAAGCAGAACAACAATGGCGGTAATGACGCCGGCCAGCGGCGTCCGTACACCGGACTTGGCTTTGATCGCAGTCCGAGAGAACGAACCAGTGGCAGGGTAGCCACCTAGGAAGGGCCCGAGGAGGTTTGAGATGCCAATGGCGATGAACTCCTGGGAAGGGTTGATGGTGTAGTTGTTGACGCGACCGAAGGATTTTGAGATAGCAATATGCTCTATCACCAAGACAATCACTGCTGCCGGCAGCTCTTTTGCAAAGGTCTTGATAATATCAACATTAATTTTGGGAACGCCCGCATGCTGAAACCCATAAGGAACTTTGCCCAGCATCTTGAATGCCGGATTGTTGCGACGATGGAGGTTGACTGCAGCACTAATCATCGTATAGAACAGAATCACAAAGACCGTGCGAAGGGTATTCAGGAAAAAGAAGAGCTTCGCCTTCCGAGGGTATTTCCTGGTTCCATAGTTGCATGCCGCGCGGATGGCATACAGCATGGCAAGTGCCGTCAAGCCCATGGCAGCATCCATCTGCGAGGTAGGCAGATATTTCAAGGTATTGATGATGACCATGTATGTCGATCCACGGGTAGAAAAATCAGCCGTTTCTCCCAAGACTGTCTTGACTTGTCCGGCGCACACATTGATCGCAGATCCGGTCATGAAGGCGGTAATCGCAGGAAGAGGGATGAAGTCGACGATGAATCCGAGACGGAACAGGCCAATGAAGGTCGCGATCGCACCGCAGATGATGGCAAGGGCTCCGGCAATCGTTGGGCCGTCGACGTCAGGGTAGTCTTTTTGCACTTCGATGATGATGGTTCCAACTAAGGTGGACATGACGGCCACCGGCTGATCGGGTTAGTTGTTGGTCATGACAAGGAAGTGGAAGACCTACACCGATGGTGATATCCTTTGATGTGGCGAAGAACCAGTATATTAACACGCCCATGAAGGAGGAATATAGTCCATATTCGGCAGGTAACTTGGCTAGGATGGCGTATGCCATGCCTTGTGGGATCACCACAGCTCCGACAGTAACACCTATAGATGTAAGCCTCACTCACTTCAGTAACTGTTATGAGGCATCTCACCTGCGATCAGATCACCGATGAACCACTGCATGTTGTAGCTCATGATCCAGTGAAGAAAAGGGAACAAGTCGTAGAAATAGCGACCAATTTGACGACGAGATGGTACGAGCTCGCGCAGCCATTCGCCGGCTGTTGGCTCTGTTTCGACATAATGGCCAGCAGTATCTGATCCATCACGAAGGTATGGGTCGGTATTCGATGCCAGATCGATTCCGAGCACCTTCGCCAGAAGATGGCCAACTTTAGTGGTCATTTTCCGTGTCAGCAGACAGAGCTTTCAGATCTGTGGCATATACCGATGAGGAATGGGATCTGGAGGGGAATAATAAATCTTAAGCTTATCGCGTGAGAATTGTCAGATATTTTATCAGAGGACAGGGGATCGATGTCGTGATTTTAGCTCCGAAATGGCAATGCAGCTGGGGCTTGCCATGTGCCGGCCAGATGCACCTCCACGCCCATGCCGAGCGCGCATTGGCCTTTTTCGACATGGCTGAACCATAGATGATTAAAGAAACACGAGACTAAGTGATTGCCTTCTTCTTGGTCAAGAAGAGCTGAATGACGATCACTCGTAAGACGTTAGATGGGTGAGAATTTCCGTGTTCGCCAGGAAGACTCAGTCCTGGCTTATGTCTGCAGGGATCCCTCATGTAGCGCAGTAAGCGCAGCTAAGAACAGCCTCTAGGCGGACTTCCCACGAAGCTAATTCTACTTTCGTGGTCTAATGTTATTAAAAACGGAAAAGAGGAAAGAAGAGGGCACGATGCAATCATCCAAGCTTTCTGCAATCTGGCCCAATCTGTGTGTCTATTTTGCTGCGTAAACAGACGGGATAGGGTTGGCCCAGGGCCCACAATAAACAGACCCATCTATCATGCTGTCGGTCTCCACGATCAGAACTAAGGTAAGTGAAGTGCCAATCCAATCATGCCATATGTCTGGTATGCCACTTACATCCACCTTTATTTTTTCTGCTGGCTGGAAAAAGATCTACTCTAGGTACTTCCCAAGGGACATGACTGAGATAAGTGGAGTAACTTGCTCCACAAGGCTGAAACAACTTGTTTTAAGCATGTTATGGTGGTGATTGAGGGGCCGCGTCAAGGGTTGGTTAAGCTCAACCGTCTGTATACATGTGGAACTGTCTCTATTCAACCAGGCTTCTGATATCACCACAAGATACAATTTTATATAAGACTTCAATATGCTATATGACGCCAATGCTATGGTTTACGGCGCCATTGACCATGTTTAACCTGGGAGGGGGCGACGTGGCCGGGAAGTGGTCGAGTCCCTCCACTACCATGGCGAATTTTTAGTCCCGAGCACGCCATCAAGCTAACCGTGGGATGCATTTTCGACCACACACACAAACATCCCACTTCTCGACCCGAATCCTTGCATGTGTATGCGCCAATGTACGCTTAATGAGCTGCTGGATCCTGCCAAGAAGCCACAAATACTCTATTCGCTTGGCCCAGCCGTGAAAACCCCAAGGCCTCATACGACCGCCAAATAGAACACACGAGGAACACGGAAAGAGAGAGCTACACAAAAGAAGCAAATCCTAAAGAGCGCTCCGTCTCGCCTTTCATGATGTCAAACAAAAACGTAATATGGCGATGAGTGTGGTCGGGCAACCAGTGATCCTAGTTCTTCAGATACTGCAACGAGAGGAACACGAACCGACATCAGTAGCAAATTGTTGACCATACGAGTAGGCAAAGCCACGTTGAGTTTAGTTCAGAGTGATTTTCATCTTGGAAACCCTCGTGGCTTCCACTTCCACGAACTCTATTGTGGGGTAGAATGAGTGCTGCAAAGGGGCACTCAAAGCATGAGAGCATACGAGGAGATCTGCTTTCTGGGCATTCTCATGTCCGTAGACATGAGATATTAAGCTTCTGTACAATTTCAGTAGAGTTCTGTGGTTACGAACCCTGGACAAAAGGTTCTTGCAGACAAGGAAAGCACTAATCGGTGTTTGGTGTATGCTCACGGAGGTCCTAAGTTTGACATGGTCCTGAGAGTGGGAAGGCACATGCATAATTTCCTAAACCATTCATTAGAGTTTAGTTTTACGCCTCAATCAACAAAGATAATCATACTCGATGAGATCAAATGACGGGCCGTGAAATTGGCTCAAGTCGCTGTTTAATATTTGTTTCCGGGCAAGCGGCATGTGACCCGAGGCGAATTACCCTTGTCCCAGAATATTGTCATGCTAACCTTCAATCATGGCGCAAAGACACTGAATTGTCCATCAAAATTCTGAAGCGTTAGCCAAAATCTTGATATCTCGAGGAAGGTAACATACCCAATCGATCAGATCCAGGTCCATCCATTCTCGGATATCTGTCAAATCTTCATATAGATTCTCGAACGGGGTCTCCGAGCTCCCTGCTGGTGGGTCGCCTGTCCCTCATTGGGCTCTAAGATGAATGCTTAGTTGGCTGACATTGACAAAAACATTAGGTAGCTTACTGTAAATGGCGGAGTATGCGATACGCTCTGAGACAGATATGACTTCGGCCTGGGAGATCTTTCATGCGGGCAATCAAGCTTGCAATCTCCTTTCGAAAAGCTTCCAAGTTATGTTCCGTGTCATCGTGGAGACACTATTTCAGGGCCACGGCTGCATGGAGTGCTTTCAGACTCGTCACCCCACTCAGCAACCAGAAGTAGTTTCGAAGCATTGGAGCTTCGTAGAGTTGTCTGAGAAGGGAAATCAGAGCTGCGCTAGAGCTAATACACCTTTCTCTAGAAATTGGAAGAAAGCAAGACGCTTTGGAATGGTGAAACGGCTGGTGTAGCAGAGGATAGAGATGATGCGCGTACGTCTGCAAGACGCACCAATAAGCATAGCGATTAGAATCCAAGATATTGGGTGAGCCATCAACCAGATAGGCCGCGTCCCACTGCTTTTGATCTTCCGCTATCGCAGCATCGAGATCACGTAAGGCCTGCTGGTCGAGACATGAAGGTCCTGAGGTATGATGGCAGATCGGAGTGGAAAGCCGGAACAGTCGAAGCTTCGCCATCATGACGGACATCTGTGTGGGCTCGCTACAAGACTGCTGCACAATGCCTTCGTTGGTAATATCAACATCATTAACATCGGCAAGTTGAGGAACTTGAATGCTAAGAAGGTACGGCATATCGAAGTCCCGGAAAAGCATTCCCTGATACGTGTGCAACGTCACAAGATCAGCCCAACAGCGTCGCTGTCTTACGGTCTCGATGGTGCCCAGGTTCTTCTGTTCTACATTGCAACGTAACGCAATGCCAATATTCAACGCCATTCCTAACAGGGACTAGCCTTGGTCGACGGATTCATTGTGAGAGAGGCTATATATTACCATCAATAGAGCCTCGAAGGTGCTGAATGTGTGCCGGATCAAAATATCACCATGCAGAAGACAGGTCATTGCAGTCCGAAGTAGACGGCGAGACACAAAAACCGTGATATAAACCGTGCTTGTAGGTTGCATTAGATTTGAAGGCAGCTGAGACCAGACGCACGTTAGCCTGGGGTCACTTCCATCTAGAGTGTTCAGAGACAAGGAACATAAAGCGAAAAGCAAAGCTAGCCAAGGCAAGTCGACATCTTGAGGGCGCTGCATGAATGTCGTATACTGTTTTTGGAAAGTTGAACCATGCAGAATGGGGAACAGGGCGGATATATGTTTGAACAAATGTGAAACGAGATAGTCGCAACAGGACTTCGGCGGAAGCGAGTCGATCATTTCCTGGAGAGGGATGCGAGGACTTATAGAAAGGGGTGATAGTGTGTCATTAACATCCTCCTCTGGCACAGGGCGCTCAAGCACAGTTTCTCAGTGTACACCAGGAGGTCATGTTTCTACTTCAGATATAGTCTGTTCGGACTCCGAAGTTGAAGAGATGGCACCTTTTCGTGTCGGTGCAGTCGAAGATCCTGCTCCGCCACTCAACGCAGATGACGCCGAAGTGGTCATGGGATACCTGCGAATTTTACTTGATACAGGTGAATCAGAAGGGGCCTCATATGAGCAAGTGGATTCGCGCTTGCAACGCTTGCATGCACCACAAGGGTGTTGACGATCGCACTGCAACTTAGAGCGTCGGCATTCCTCGCAATTAACAGCTTTGCGCTTTCGCCGGATGGCATCTCACTGGTCTCTATCATAGTACAAAGCTGAACTCTTCATGTCTCTGAACGGGTCTGTTCCTTATCAATTTTGCATTCGGCTCCCTTCTCTCTGGCCCTTTCTCCGAGACATTCAGGCGTAATACCATATATTCCACAACAATGATCCTCATCCTGATTTTCGTCATGGCATCAGGACTAGCCCCAAATCTCCATAATCACCTCATCTTTCATTTCTTTTCCAGCCTCTTCACTTCCACTCCGTTTACCTGCGCCGGTGGCACCGTTGCCGACTATTAAACCCTCTGGAAAAGACCTATGCCTTTCCTTTTTACGCTATACCTGCATTTATCAGACCCATGATGGGCCAGATATACAGAAGCTATATTCCAGTCACACTAGGTTGGCGCTGGCTAGAGTGGGTAATGCTGATCGTGGGTGGTATAGTTCTAGCTCTAGTCCTTTTATTCCGGCCCGAGACATATGATAACCTTATCCTCTACTGGAAGGCTTCCATCCTTCGAAAAGAGACCGATGATGAGAGATACAGAGCTCCCATGAAGATCAATCAGAAGGGCCTCGGTCAGCAATTAAAGACCTCCGTGTACCGGCCATTTGCAATGTTTTACTCGGAACTATTTTATCAACCTGATGTCGCTCTATCTGACCATCATCTATATTGTCCTCTACCTTTCTTGAGGGGTATACCTATATTTTTGGAAAGGCATATGGCCTCTCAGAAGGGCTAACCAACCTTTGCTGGGCTGGTATGCTCGTTGGCATCTTTCTGGTTACCGGCGTGGTTCCGGTGGTTTACAGCTGGACGGCAAAGGCCTATGCTGGAGATAAGTCCACTATTGCACCTGAGATGAGACTATGGTACACGATGCTTGGCGGCGCAGTAGCAGTGTCGATCAGCTTGTTCTGGATGGGATGGACAAGCAATGTAAGTCTATATGGACACATCAACGTGTTTTGCAACAGGCTGACCTTTCTTTGTCTCTACAGCCAAACATCTCAGAATGGTCTCCTCTCGTTGCATCCGCCTTCTTCGGCTACGGTATCACCACCATCTTCATCGTTGCATACATGTATCTCATCGACTCCTACGACACATAATCTGCATCCGCTCTGGGATTCCTCGCGTTCACGCGATATGTGGTGGCGGGAGGCGTGACTGTTGCTGGGGATCCGATCTATGAGGCTTTGGGCGTGCAGTATACCCTTACCATTCTGGGGTCTATCAGTGCAGTTATGGCGTTGGTGCCTTATTTGCTTTACTTCTATGGGCCGAGCATCCGCAGAAAGAGCAAATATGCGGTGAATGTTGACACTAAGTAAAAGTCCAAGAGGGTGTGATGGCTAGGGGTTATATCCTTGTTTATGGGTGTGCCCAAGAATCACGACTTGGCTGTCATAGTGCATAGGATCAAAGACTTCGGGGAAGTCCTAGAGCTAAAGGTGCCTTTTTAAGTTATTTCGAAGGGACGAAATATAAATAGACAAGATATATAGATAGGGAAAGAGCTTTGAGCAAGTAAAAAGAGACATTACGGATACAGATGCTTACGATACTACATCACGATTGTTTTGCTCGAATCAGGACAAGCGGCAAATAAGGTCTTCAACAAGACATTGAAAATCAAAAAGCACTCGAACTAATTAAGACAGCGTTCGTGACGACCTCAATCAAGGATTGAGAACATCGACGAATGTCAACTATTGTACAGAAACAATTGGCTGCGATATCATAATGTAGCCTTTAGGATAAAGGAGCGGGCTGCTTGACATGCGAGGAATCATCGAGCCCCTATGGTACCTACTGGCGTAACCACTCGAATCCAGCGATAATATCCCCATTTCCCACCATCATCCCCAATCAGGACACCGCGACTGAGCTAGCAGATCCTTCAGGCCGAAGTAACACATTGATGGTACCAAGGGTTCTGCTCCACGCAGGTGCAAGGTGACTCACACTCGGCTGGGCCAGCATAATTAAGGCCTCCGCATTGGCCCCAGTGCGAGACAAGATTGCCCGAGCTAGCGGCCGTGGATTGAATGCTGCTGCTGCTGCTGGCGGGGGTCTGAACATAGGCATGGACAGCAGCGGTAGTTGTGCCTGGGCTTGCGACAGATGCACTACTGACCGAAGGGGAGGCAGCAGATGAGCTTCCCGAGCCACTTCCGTTCCACACGTCATCCCCGATTGGCGTCTCCAAAATATCCGTTTGAATCTTCTCCGCTGAGTCGACCCAGAGATTGAGGCCGTTGAACAGGGTCATACTGTCATTGTAGAGACCGGGAATCTGGTATGTGAGACTGGGAGATCCAGTTCCCGAGCCTGTGACCTTTACCTGTGCACAGCTAAGTTGGCGGTGTCAGCATCATTGCTCCTTGAATGTCATAAATCTGAGCGTGATTGCCTCACCTGTAGAAGAATTCAGCCTCGTTTGCCTGAGCCCCATGCAAGCCCACATGCTCGGCGCGCACCAGATACTCGCCTGCTGGGGTCTCAGCAGGAATCTGGAACTCGAACTCGGACATGCCCCAGGTGCACCAGGCGTCCTTGGTCAAGTCGCCTTCCTCGTTGCAGAGCGTTCTTTCCCAGATCTTGAACCATTCGCCGTCGCCTTCGTATTCCTGGACATTGCCGGTGGGTGCCTTGGACATAACTGTGATACGAGGAAACCAGGTCATTAGAAGGTGAGTGACTATGACATGGAGAGGGATGACTCGTACAAACTTGGCCCGGGCCGGGGTGCGCAATACTGGTGTCGTAGAAGAGCTTCATCCCGATGGTATCGCCCGCCGCTACCTCGGCGACGTCGGTCTTGGCGGCATTGCTGAACGAGCCCAGGTTGCAACGAAAATCGTTGTCGTTGGGTGTCAAATTGTCAAAAGTGTTGGTGAACTTGGTAGGCTCGTAGCAGATGCTGCGAGTGGTCTCACGAATGTACTGCCAGTCCGCAGAAGCCTCTCCGTTCAACACGAGCTTGCTGAAGATATAATGAGCGGAAGCCGTAGGTGCCAGACTGGCAGTGACTGCAACGGCCAGAGGAAGATACTTCATTGTGTTTGGCTGAGGATAGAGACAAATTTAGAAACGAAAGAAGAAGTATGGACGTATAATGAATTGAAGTGAAAGAGTGACGAGAGCCTGACACCTGGTCAGATTGAATCCAGCTCGATAATGAGAAGTCAAAGTAAGGAGTGATATCTTGTATAGTTCCTCTCGCAGAAGAAGAGAATCAATGAGGGCTTATATGAATGTGCCAAGCACGCCGCAGCTTATCTCTGCCCTCGAATATCCACAGCTTGAGTTCCTGCTGTCCCAGTCCTTCATTTCCTCATCACACACGGCGCTGTGGCGGGCTTCTCCGAAACAATATGTCGCACCATTATCATGGGCAGCATCCAGTCCACTTCCATATACCTGGCTAAATGTCGGTTGTACCTTCCTAGCCATGCCATATCCCTGGTATGTTAGAGCTCAATACAATATTGAACCCATAGTGTGCTTTGAGGCTCTATGTAAGCGCAACTGTCCTTCTGTTCACGAGTCCTGTAATTGAACAGCTTCCACATTCTTCTAGACAGTCAGGTCATCCTGTCATTGACTATTCCATCCTCGCCATTCGCCACCCAGTCGGGCCTGTGGCAGCCGTATCTCCCAGTCTGAGTGACTCCGTACTTGCGTGCAGTTGGCGGCATGAATTGAAGGTAAACAGGCAGAAGCCCAGCCGTCCAATCAGATCCAACCGATCCTAGAATCAGGAAATAGCGGTACAGATACTGATTCCACTTTTGCTTTGCTCGAAACAGCCAGTGTTTGTTAATGGTGCAATGCGCGCTCCGGTGACACCCATACGGGACTTGGCTCGGTACTTATCGCACGTCGATACCCGTGGCTGTTCAAGCCAAGAGTGCCGAATCCCATTCCGGATGTTCGAGGCCCTGAACCCTTACAAGTGGGGCACTAAGAATTCATCCCTGCCCTGCTGTCTGCGTGAAGCGCCCAGGAAACCCCTTGACGAAGCTTCTTCAACTTATCCTACCTCGAAGTTGTTAAGACAAAGTCACATCGTATTCATGAGGGGTATTGACCAACCTAAACTGGTCTTTCGGCTGGGATGCAACTTACACTTAAGCCATAAAGATGAGAGCCACTTCTACTGCGCTCATTCTTGAAATCGTTATTTGTGGTATGATGAGCCGCGGGACTTAGAAGCCGCGGGACTAAAGCTTCCGGTTGGAAGTGGAGTTACTAATAGTTACTACTGAGCTCCAGGCGAATGTGTCATCGGACATGTCGTTGCCAAGCATCACATACTCCATGTGATTGGTCTTTTGCTGGCTCTTTCCACTGAAGGATCTCAGGGAGTTCTAATCTGGGTGGCCAAGTTGGGTCATAATCATCTGAAACACACCGATTGCCTAGACTTGTCAATCGTTCACCAGGGTGAGCTCTGACGATCAAGCTCTGAGTGTACTCCATAAGTTACCTGCCAAAGCTGCTCCAGCCAATGTCTGGGTGCTGATTTGTACTAGCAATGGTTCAGAAGAGGACCCATTGCCCGCCGTAGCACTAGGACATGTGTCTGACGAGTATTTCACTACTCCGTGCATGGTATGCTTCAGTAGTTTCCTCAACAAGTCTACCTTCATCAGCCCTAAGCACTCTTGTGTCATCAGTTCATAAGTTACGTTTTAGCTATAGGTACATCAATGTCTTCCGGTTCGAAACCAGCTCGCGAGCTATTTTCTTTCCTATTCTGTCCTCTGTGCGCTTTACTTGCGGAAAGGGCCCGATTCTGGCTTCGTGTGGAGCCACGAGGCCGTTTTTCCATCTGAAACGATTCCGTAGTTTAGACTTTCCTTACTACCATCCACTTTGGAAGGCACCAACTTCAATATGGACCGAGGAATATTTTTAGCTCCGTACATTGCTAGTTCCGCATTGCCGTGGGTTCCGATATTTCTATGAGGAACTTGGCAAATGCTTCAAGGGTTTTCAAAGGGTTTTCACTAAAGTGGGTCCAAGTGACCCACTTGACTGCCTTATACTCACGGACTGCTACCTACAAACTAGACCAAAAGAGATATATCCCCGTGAGATACTGGCGCGTGTCGGTTAAGACCAATGCCGTCACCAAAGCAGCCATGCAAGGCACCCGGTTACCTGCTTATCTCTGGATTGAGTACGGGTACACAGATAACCTTCTTACTTATATGGTCGCACTGCTTACCGATTAGGTTACGGAGCACAAGTCCGCAGAACGCAATAGCGTGCCTGAACAATTGCGATGACAGGTGTGAGGACTTACAATAATCATTGACTTCCATGTGTTATGATGTCGATCTTTGTGCGAGATATGAACTATCCGTAGTTGCAGCATTTCAAGCTGAAACCAGAATGAACCCCATCTTGATCCGAAATATAACCGGCACCCCTAAGAACATGTTCATCTACTATCCCTGAACGTGCGGAAATAACTATGAACCACATGGACTTACTCAACCAGGCTGGCAAATGATACATTCAGAGGACGAGACACCTACCGACAACCGAATATGAAGCAGGAAGCTTAAAAGTGATTTAGATGGTCTTCTTGGTCAACGTGAAAGGCGTTTTATCCCACAGCATCGCAATCATAAAGCCATTGGGCTTGTCCAGAGTTGCCCGCTTCTCCATCGGGCGCCATATAATCGCAGTGACTATTATACTGTTGGGCCATAGATGTGCAAGATATTCCAACCGGTTAATTGAATTAATTTCCACACCGAAAGCGATCGGTGCCACGGTTAAAGTGGTTTTTGGGCAGTCAATATAAGCTCCTGGCATGTAATCTAACATTCCGTGAATATTCGTGGCACTTGGAGCCTTCTTTGCGGAATAGTTGGCTCACTTGGAGGGTTAAGGGTCAATTCACATTTATCACATGTCTTTTGCACGCAGGCCAAAGAAATTAGCCAGGTAGATGGACAGCGGGATTGCTCCGTACATTCAATGTCGCTTAGAGGTTGTTTCATAGTGCTACAACCGTAGCCTAAATGGATAAAGTGCCCGCGGAAGGTACAGTTCGAACGAACTTTGGAAATTGCTTCCCCCCTTTGTCGACAGGTAAACGATATAAAGGTAGGTGTCTGCCAAACAATCATTGCTAACTCATCACCCTCGTCTTTTAAGTCACGGTTGTAACCTTCTACTTGGAATTCTTCCTTTCCATCATAATCATGGTGTCTTTTCTTGGCCAAGCACGCCTGGCCGTGCCAATCCTATCAGCCTTTGCGTGGATGCTTGCGGCAAGTTCCGCCATCCCCCCACCGCCGCCTGGAACTCTCTCACCTGAGCGTCTTCAATGGATCAGAGAGGTGATCGGCAATCAGACCGAGGGCGGCAGCATTTCGGATCTCGCTAAGCGGAGCACTATCCTGCATACCAGCCAAGACGGCGTCGACAGCGGGGGATTCTACTACTCCGTGTACAATGACAACGGAGCCAGCGTTGGATACACTGAATACCCCACGACCGGCCAGTTCGAACTCGGCTGGAACCCTGAGACGGAATTCCTTGGTGGGAAGGGCTTCAAGGGTGGCAGCACGCGGTAAGTGCACCTTTCCCTCTCTCTCTCTCTCTCTCTCTCTCTCTCTCTCTTGCCCTCACCTGGCAGAGCGTAGGAAGCTGACAATTATCTGGCTCAGCTCCTTGACCTGGGACGGTTACTTCACCGCCGAGGGTGACTGGACTTTGGCCATCTATGGCTGGACCTTGAACCCCGTCACCGAGTGGTATATTGTGGAGTCGCATGGCACTGGAACCCCAGGCAACGGGAACATCCTCGGCCAGGTCGATAGCGATGGTGGTGTCTACGATGTTTACAATCTCCCCTACAGAAATGTTCCCGAGATCTACGGTGTCACCAACTTCGACCAGCACTGGTCGGTGCGTCGCTCCCACCGTTCCACCGGCACTGTCGACGTGAGCACTCATTTCCAGCGCTGGAAGGAATTGGGTCTCAACCCTGGCACCCCGATTTTCCAGATGGTTACTCTGGAAGGCTTCTCCGGCCAAGGGTACCTGGATTTCACCGTCCAGGCGTAGAGAAGATCAATGGCCATGTACTCCCAGGGCATTTGCCCGAGGTCAGAGCTCCGCCGCATGTATCACCATAAAGACGCTTGGTGAAATAATCAGAAGCCCCCTTTCCCCTCAATTTTGTTTCATCTATTTTACAAAGGCTTGTCTTTATCCGCTTTTTTCGCTTCTTTTCAAGATATCAAGCACTTTATTGACCTTTAAATAACATATTGAGTCTGGTGGCTGCTGCAGTGCTTCATTGTCTAAATACTTTATCCATTGTTTTCCTTTGTAATCATATATTCCAAATTTGTTTGAGAGTTATAAACTCGTAGTGCTGTATACAAGGTTATTTTGGCAGCATTACCGCCTTCTTAGTAGTGGTGCAATTACTCCCAACTACCCCGGAGTGCTCTTCTTCGAGATGGGCCTCGTGATCGGTGATCCCTGATCAAGACCTGAATTCCGCCGGATTGCAGCCCCAGAGCGACTGAGAAACAGAATGATCATCCTCCCGTCCCGTCGTCTTCACAACGCCTCTCCTACATCCTCATTACGCGCCATTTCACCGAACTCCATTGAGGAGACTGTTTCAGAGAGTGAGATGTCATCTCAAATGAATTATTTGTAAATCAGATTATCCATTCTTTTGTCATTACCTATTTTATATATTTTCTCGCAATCTTGAGTGAAGATATTACTGTTAATGTATTACTTATTTTTTGGATGTCGGTGGTCTTCCTGCAATCAATCTGTGCAAAAGGCACTCACGTTTTTGAAATACCATAGATGCCTATTGCGGTACCAGGATCTACTAGACTACTTACTTCATCTTTATTAGTGGAGAAGAGTTGGCCTAATCGTGTAAGAAAGGTCCACCTAGTGGATATTCCCAGAAAGTGGAGACGTGAGGCAAGTACGAATATACGAATACAAGATGTGACGGATATACGAATATACGAACTTCAATAGAGGCATGAAGTTTCGACATACCAGCCCCCATAAAAGGGGAGGTTTCTTGGCATTAGCAAATGTATCATTTTTATGTTTGAGAATACTCGGAATTCTGAGTATAGTTATAAGGGGGTTAGGTGGATAAGTCCATTCTCACTGTGGCTCTCTGAGGTACAATCTTATTAGATGCTACAGGGTACGCCAGGACTCCGACTGACATTTGAAAATATTGTTTTTACGGCGAAGAGACTTCAGAATTTGCGTCTTGAAGCAGTGTGGTTATCACCAAATACGTCTCTGTGATATATTCATACAGGAGATCATCCAACATCAACTCCGCGAACCTTTAAATTGTTATATATATATACTCAACATCAAGTGTGTTGTTTCCAACGAAAGACCTTCCCACCCTGCACCTCAAGAGTCCCGTTAAGAGGGCTAGGAAGAACAACAGTACCCTTAGTACCCACAGGGGCGCTGACAACAATACTGAAACGTCCGCTGCCATCATAAGACCAATCAACCCTAATGTTACCATAAGGAGTAGGATGCTCTCCCCGTGCCCAAGCCAGTCCCAAAGTCTGAGGAGCGACTCTCCACTCCCTAAAACCAGGAGTAACGGGCTGGATACCGAGAATATAACGGCTCAGATCAGCAGTGGGCCCTGCGCTCCAGGCATGGCACAGCGAGGTTCCAGACCCGATGCCGGGAGTACCGTCCGGGTTTATGACCTCCCACATACAGCCAGTGTAGTTGGCATTTTTCGGGTCACTGATCGGGCCCCAGATACTGTGGAGAAGCCTTTTGGCATTAACGCCATCGTTCGCATGGAAGGCCGCCTTGAGGTGGTAGCCGGAGGCATAGGGGCTGATTTTCTGGGCGAAACCGCTGGCGATGCTGGCGTTGGAGAAGGAGAGAGCACCTTTGGGAATGTATAATTGCTGCGCCATGGTGGATAGTAACGTACTAGTCCGATTGCCAGTCAGTTGTGTAGTGTCACTCAGGATGGCCAGGGCGTTGGCTTCCTGCGAGAAAAAGTCCTGGTATGTTTCAGAGTGGTAGTAGGCTTGAAGTTTGTCGCTCCACAAATGATCGTTGATTGCTTTCTGTAAATTTTTCAGCCGCCTTTGATAAGCGGTAGCATTTATGTTGGTCTGCTCCAGATACGGGATCCATTTCTTCAGCGAGTAAGCGTATAATATGTTGAATTGGGAGACAATCCCAGACGAGGCGGGATCATAGATGTCCCATCCCCCACCGATGGCGGGATCGGTGATGTTAAGCAAGTTACTTGGTAGGGTCTGCGAGTGCGCCCAATCAAGCATGCGCATCACTTTCGGGGCCCAGCGATGCAGAAACATTTCATCACCGGTCTGCTCGTAGAAGTTGGCCATTGCACTCAGCAGATTAAATGAATAGCCAATCAAACCGGTCGTATTCGCCTCGACATCCTTGGTTCGAGGGGGCTGCTGGATTTTTGCATTCGGTACAAAGAATCCGGGTGTCAGCTGGTAAGAGCCGAGCAGCTCAATAGAACCGTTGATGTATTCAATACCGTTGGTGCTGGCGAATGCTGTACTGCTAGCTATGTCCAAGTCTCCGGCGTACGCAATACGATCGCGTCGAGAGCCGTCGACGCTGACAGGTAAGGGGTTGGTCCCGACAAGAAAGTCTGATAGCGCCGACTCATCTGTCAATGTTGAGAAATACTTTTGCTTTCCCCCGACTAACAATGACAGGTTGGTGAAAACGGCAGAATGCCCGAAAGACGCACCCACACCAAAGGAGCCATAAAAAGATGCCGTTTGGGAGAAATCCAGCACAGTGGTGTTATCGATTTGAACAGATATTTGGGACATGTTCACGTTGCTTTGAACCTTGTGCCACTCGTTCAGAATGATTGAAGAGGGAAGGTGACCTGAGGCAATGATAGGGTCCAGCTCAGTAGATCCAGCATGCGCAGAGATTGAGGCATTGGCGATATCGACGAAGATGTAGATTCCGTTAGACAGAGTATCACTGAGTACATTAAAGCTGAAGCCCTTGGAGATTGGCTTTACCGAGAACTCTAGGTCATAAGTCGTCAGTGAAGGAGACCAGGTGGTATAGTAGGGTTGCGGAGCAAGACTGTCCACCAAGGCTCCTTCATCGGTAAGAACCCAAAAGTCTGGGATGCTGTTAGCTGGGAACTCGGTAAGCTGCAATGTCCGAGCTCCCGCATGCCAAATCCGAGTCAGCACTTCATCAGAACAGTTGAACGAGCCTGGAAGATCTGCCAAAGGGATATTAGAGACAGTCGGCTTGAATCCAACAAGGGATAGATGCATCTCTCCCGCACTAGACAGGTTCAATTTCTGGTATCGCAGTCCGCCCTGGATGAGCCTGTTGGTGTAGGACCTTTCTTCTGTGATGTTGTACCGATTCACGCGGTACGTGTCCATCGTCGCATCAAAGGACAGAGGACCGTCAGCCTGATATCAATGAGCCAGGAGTTAGCGATCGCAATTTGTGGTGAGCAAGACGGGAAGTTGGCTCACCATAGCTGATTCCAGTAATGCATATGTTTCGCTATAGGCCATTTCAAACCCGGAGGTGTCCCCGGACATGGATTAAATTTTAAAGGTGGCATAGCCTTCGACATCTCGTCCGTAGTCGAGGATTAATATGGCGGAAGTCAACCCGTCGGAGGAGAGCTTAAGCACTGTATCATTCAGATACTCAATCCATTTATTCTGCGAGGCGTTGAAATAGGTAGTAGGTTGATACAAGGTCGAACAGTACCCAGAGGCAAAGAGGAGACTAAGGAAGGCTAAATTATAAAGGGATCCCATGATGATTTGCATCTCCGCAGGGATCCTTCAGGGTTGAATCCGATGTCAGTTTGGTGAACATGCAACAAGTTGTCATGGATGTGCGAGGAGTGAAGCTATTTTATATTCGACATCGTTCTAATACCGAGTCACTAAGACCCCTTTCTCCCTTGACAAAACGAATATACGAGCATACATGCGGCACACAATGCTGCCTGCAAAGCTTGGCGTCTCCCTTAATCCCATGGTACGTAGCCACCAGCCGAGCCCTACCGGGAAGTCGATCCCGTTGGCACAGGGCCACGACGCTGGCATTGGGGTCGGATCGTCGTAGAGCGAAGCAAATACGAATGTACGAAATTCCTACTTCCTGCCGCATTGAGCTTCGATTGCCACCGACCGCGAATCTCGTGGCAGTGCAAGATAAATTTCGAGGCACCTCGACTCTCCACTAAATTATGACTTTACAATAAAAGTGGGATAGAAAGAAGTACTGACTAGACAGTAGTCACTGGGACATCTTTTCTGTCTCTAGTAGCCATTTAATTAGGATTACTATTAACCACCACAGGGGTACTACTAGTCGCGAATGCAGGAACAATTGATATAAACCAACCAAGACACGGCGTCTGCGCCTTTCCAGCCATAAAATATACCATGCAAATATCAAACACAATCAACGGGCTTGTCATGACATCGTAAAGGTAGACCATCGTCTCCTACAGTGGTCTGCCCAGCATCCGGAGACGCTCCCTCAATGCATCCGCCTCGCGGTCCTCTTCAGCATCTGACCTTCTCTCTCTCAGTGATACGGACCGATATTCTCCATCACCTCCGGGTGCCCCTACAGTCACCCACACGAACTTGCTTCCACTCCCCCCTGCTGCCCGTTCCTGGGAGCCCTCCCAGAACAATTCCATGGGGCTTGCAGCGCCTGACGCCTTGTCATGTGTGGGTCGTCCTCCGAGGCGCCCCTGCTTCACCCACCCTTTCATGACCTCCTTAATGAAATTGATCTTCTGTAGGAACGAATTGGCGTCTAGGATATCCCGAACACGTTCATCTGCGGAACTTGCGCCAGTGCCATACGCAATGCCGAGGAAGGTTGCAACTTCGTCTGAAGTGACTGCCCGAGTGTCGAATCCAGATGGGTGCATCTTGCCCTTTGTGCTGAGGTATCTTGCTGCAGACGGCGAAAGGTGGTAGAAGTCGACCCAGGGTGAGGAGCTTCTTGTGCGTCCAGGAGCGATCACGAGCTTCGTGTGATCAGGGAAGTTGAACTGTTTGATGTGTTAGCTGGTGCAAGTGACATGTAGAAGATGGTTGACATACCTGGAAGGCACCATCCCCGAATCCCCAGACGCCAACATTCCCCAGTCGTTGGTAGAACTTGATGAATTGGCCCGAGCTACCGGGAGCCAACTCGTCCTCCAAAGCTGCGTCATCTCCGTGTCGGCCTAGAGACCCGATCATGTATTTGCCAAACTGATCGACCAGCTTAACTCGTTTGATCTTTTCGGCGTCCGCACGCGCGCAGTCAAGGCCGGAGTTTGTGCGGATCTTGATACCGGCCGCAGAAGATCCGCTAGAGGAGGCCTTGACCTCGAACAGCGACGGTGAGATCAGAGCTCGCCGGATTCCACCACGACACTCGGCGAAGTCGCGGGTACAATTTTCATAAAATTCTACCGGCTTACCATGGCGAGGAATGAGCTGGTCCGCCTCGGAATACCCATAGATTGCACCCTCTTGTTGCTCCTGGCTACGGGCTTTGCGCCGGATGTGTTTTTCGCCATCCCGCACTACTACGCCACTTGCAGGCTGGCCATTCTCTGCCTTGAAGACGCATCCTACGCTGCCATCATCCAAGACATAGCCAATACCATACCGATTTGTGTAATCCACCCATTTAATCACATATGCGTGAGGTGGCCGTCGAAGCCCAGCCCGTCTCCGGGCTGCTGAGTGTGGTACCATGTTGGACAACATGTGTCGCAGATCCATGTTCACGTCATCAAGGGACGTCCTTGGTAGCGCCTCCCATGGGTCTTCCACATGAAACAAGGGGTGCAGGCCTAGTGTTGAGCGTGGCTTGCTTGCAGATGAAGCTGCCTTACTACCAGACCGGCTCAGTGGTTGCGAAGAGGGTTCAGGTCGTGCAGGCTTTTCGGCCAAGCTCTCCTGGGTCGCGGCAGCTTTCGGAGGTTCTTCTTGCTTCAGCATATCTCTGGTCTCCGATCTCGGCATTGATCGCTGGGAAGGCTGGCGTGGTCTAACTGGCAAATGATCCATTGCTACGGATGCAGGCCGTTCTTTGGCAGGGGGCGGCAGATGGCCAGTTTCCTGGCTGTCTGACTCCAGTCTGCGAGACTGCGAGCGCGTCTGGGAGCGAGTTTGGGAGCGGGTCTTTCCGATCACCAGAGATTCCGGTGCCGTACTAGACTTGGGGATCTGTGGCGCAATGTTTTTGTCTAGGTCGCGCAACGAGCCCGAGTACGATGCTGCCACACCACGCCGTGCGCGGATTGGCCGCTCCGCAAGACCACCTGAAGGTATAACTGCTGGTTTTGCTTCTGCCTCCTCCTCGAACAAAGCCTTCGCTGTCGGTACAGGATCGGAGATAGCTGCGATTTTCCGGACAGAGCCTCTGCCTGTAGCTGCCTGCTGCCGCAGAGTTGCGGCATGGCTCTGTGATTCTTTTCGCCGCTGCTGAGCAGCAGCCAGCGCCGCTTGAGTTCGGGTGAGTGAAGCCACATTGCTCCGAGCAGATGCACTGCTCTTCCTTGACAGGACACTGTCTTCGAAAGAGGAGCCATCTCTGCGTGACAGCAAGGAAGTATCAGGGTCGCTCCAATCACCTATCGGGTCATGGGGGTACCTGTACACGATATCCTCTGGAAGGGGTATGACAGGCTGGAATCCTTTCTCCTCCTCAGATAAGCATTCGGCATATGCCGACTTCGAGCAGTTCTTTCCAGCGGCCTTCCGTGCTGTGCCGTCTGGTTTTCTGCCCACGCCACAGAGTGTGTAGAACGCCGCCCTGCAGACCAGGTATCGCTGACTCGGATCATCGATGTGTTCGATGTAGCCAGACAACTTCTCGTCGTACTCCAAGCTGCTCCCAAACATCATTCGATCGCCGCGGGGCTCATCCGGCTTTAGCCAAACGGGCCTACTAACGCTGCAAGACGGGTCAAGTCGTCTGGGTATACAACCGTCATACATCCTGAAAAAGGGGTGTTCAACGATGTCGTCCGGCTCAGGGCGCTCTTCTTCAGCGAGGTTCAGACACCAACTCACGAGCGACTTCGCTTCTTCGGGGATGTAGTTGGCGCACTCGGTGCCTTTCGGCCACACGTATGCCAAGTTCCGCACCTTTTTATAGATCTCCTCTTGCGTTTTTGATTGGAACGGCGGGTATCCAGTAAGCATCGCGAAACTGGCAAGGAATTAGCATGAAGTTGGTAGAGACACATTGGGTGCAGGCTTTACCAGATGACCCCCAAAGACCAGATGTCAACCTTCTGTGTATGACCGCCTTTACTTTTGTCGAGAACCTCTGGTGCAATGTAATTCGGTGTCCCGCACAGCGTCCTCCTCCTCTTTTCATCCCTCTCGGACATGATCATCGCTGCCAGACCGAAGTCACCCACTTTAATATCCATATTTTGATCCAGAAACAAGTTCCCCATCTTCAGATCGCGATGCGCAACATTTCGTTTGTGGAGGTATTTGATCGCACCGCACAGTTGGACCATGAACCGTCTGACCTCGGGCACGCTCAGGCACTTTCTCTTTCTGACCATATCCATGACGGATCCGTTCGGACACAGTTCTAGAATGACGTATATACTGCTGTCGAAAACGAAGGCGCGATGGAAGCCGACGATGTGAGGGTGGCGCATCTTCGAGTGAATCTGGAGTTCGGTACGAAACTGTGATCGTCCGTCAGCATACCAATTGCAACTATGCGGCATCGCAAGCAGGTGATTAGGTTATATACCTTTTCTTGCATCTTCTTCTGTGCCATTTCGGATCGAACCACTTTCATAGCAAAGACACGGCCGGTTCGCAATAGTGTCCCTTCGTAGCAGATTGCAAAACCTCCCTTCCCAAGAAAAGCGCCGGTCGAGTATCGCTCTCCATCCTCTTCCGGCTCCAAAATCAATGATGGTGGTGGCGGCGCATGGTTTTTCGATGACGAAGCTTTCTGAGCGGCGGCGGCAGCGGCAGCATTCTTATCCAATACTTTGCGCTCCATTGAAATCTTTGGCTTAACAATTTGGTTTGTCGACCGTGGTGATAGCGCCTCCATATTGCCTTCCGGGAGCGCTTCGTGCCTTACTGTGCTCGGGTATCAATGTTGGCGACAAAGGAACGGCGATGATTTCGAGACCCGACTTGAGCGGACATCAACTCAGACGATACAAGCGATCAATAGTGGTACAGTGCACTTGGGGTATAATGGATCTAGTTGGCTTTTGCTCCTATAGATTGTCAGTATCCATATACAACAGTGAAGTTATGCGACTTGGTCCCGGGGGGCAGCGACCGGTGAGGGGGTTTCACCGCACGGTGATGGAACACTGAAACCGCAAGACCGAGAGCGAGGTAGTGAGGCAATGAGAACATATACTTACTAAAAATGAATGAATTTCAAACAATTGACGCTCAAAAACAACAATATGCAATCAATGGCACTCCAATCAGGGAGACCGCGACCAGGGAGAGGTGGGGAGGAGACAGGAAGTGAAGTAGGGATAGACAGAAGCAAAGACGGAGAGCTTCCCGGATGGAGACCAAACGAACTTCCCGATGCGGCAATCGATAAACATTGATCCGAATGCCAGTCCAACGCGCATTGCTGACATCAGCAGGCACAGCAACCGCACGTTATGCACGGCTATGCGCCCCACGAGTCCCGCTGCCGGTTTGATGCCTGGCATTCCAGTCAGCAGTTGTGAATCACCTTCGACCAACTTCCAGGCCCATGTGAAGAGCTATTTTAAGACCTCTTTCTAATGTCATATGGATTCAAGTCGCCCATAATATAT